CCCCCCCCCCTTCCACCTGTGAAACGGCATCCATCCAGCCGGCGATTGCAGCTGCCGCTTCGTGAATAGCATGACTTAACGGTTATTTGCGTCGCATCGGGGGTGTACATATCAGGAAGATGCCAGTACTGGGAGTAGACGCCATGGACAAGGTGGGCCCGCGAAGGAAACAGGCGAAGGAAAATGGAGAATGGGAAACTACGCATTAAATATAGAAGAGTATTAATAGTAAACACGTGCTTACAGCAGGGCTCTGCGATTCATGATCAAATAACCGTGACTGAAGTTTTCCATGGGGACATTGCTATCCATAGGGCTCAACCTTCGTACACTCCATTTGCTGGGTTATCCAAGCTACTTAGTCTTTTGATCAAACGTCACAAGGGCTCAGAACTAGGCAAAGAAGTTGTCATCATGGTATTTACTGCTTCCCCGTCGACGCCGCCATTGCCCTTTGAGCCACCTCGGGGACTCACGCTTGACGAGTTCCTATTCTCCGATAAGTATGCACACCTGCGCGTCCGCAGGTCGAGCGAGGCATTGGTATGTGGTCTTTCTGGCAGGGTCTATTCGACCGACGACCTAGAGGAAAATGCCAGCTTGATGGCGCGTGCGCTCGCGCAAGAGCTTGGATGGCAACAGGAACAAGACCAAAAGAGTGGCAGGCATGAGGCGAGAGTGGTGGCCTTATACAGTGCCAACGCGATGGACTTTCTCGTTGTGACCCTCGCGCTCCACCGACTCGGCGCGGCCGCTCTCCTGATCCATCCGACCAGCACATCCACCGAGTTCAAGCAGCACCTCCTCAAGGTGCGCGCTGACGCGGTCTTCACTTGCGCTCCTCTGCTCGCGGATTGCCTCACGGCATGCGACGGCGAGGTGCCCAAGGCCCGGACGTACATTCTCGACCTCCCAGGCACGCCATCAGACCAGTCCTTCACATCGTCATCGCAGCTCCTCGAGATAGGCAAGCAAGCTCCCGAGTTGCCACCGCGCGGACCCGCGTCTCCCAAGACAGCAGCCTTCTACTTCGCCTCGAGCGGGACCTCGGGGCTCCAGAAGCTCGTCAAGGTGTCGCACTACAACGTCATAAGCAACGTTCTGCAGTCGTGCGCGTTCGAGAACCGTAAGGCCACGGGCGAGAAGCTCGACCGGATGCTGGGCCTCTTGCCGCTCAGCCATGCCTTCGCCCTCGTCGTGGCCTGCGTGATGCTCTACCGCGGCGACACGATCGTGCTGCTGCCCAAGTTCGACATGCAGCAGATGCTCAAGAGCGTGCAGGTCCATCGCATCAACCGGCTGTACCTGGTGCCGCCGGTCGTGGCGGCGCTGGCCAAGAACCCTTTCCTGCTGAACATGTTTGATCTGAGCACTGTTGAGAACGTCGTTCTGGGTGCCGCGCTCCTTGATGGCCGCATCGCGGACCAAATGCGGGCGCTGTGTCCCCATTGGGTGCTATTGCAAGGATACGGCGTGACCGAGGCCGCCGTGGTGATAGCGTGCTCCAAGTCCAGCGACCTCCTGCTCGGGGTCGGGTCCTCGGGGACTTTACTGCCGGGCATAGAGGCCCGTCTCGAGGCTGCCGACGGCCAGGAGGTCACGGACTTCGACACCGTCGGGGAGCTGTGCATCCGGTCACCGAGCGTGGTCGAGGGCTACGTCGACGACGACGCAGCCAACCAAGCTACCTTTACCGCTGATGGATGGCTGCGCACAGGAGACATGGCGGTGTTCCGACAGAGTCCTGCGACCAGCGACGCTCATCTGTGCATTGTGGACAGGATGAAGGACTTAATTAAAGTCTACGGCTTGCAAGTCTCACCCGCTGCGATCGAGGCCGAGTTACTTTCGCATCCGGCCGTAGCACAAGCTGCCGTTATCCGGGTCGCCGATGACGCGTCGGGCGAGGTGCCACGCGCCATCATCGTCTTGCAGCCGGATGCTCTCAAAAGTCTGGAAGAAGCGGGTGAGGATGGGGAGGAAGCGCTCAAGGACAGCATTGCCCAAGTCATTGAGGAGAGAATGAGTACATCGCATTGGCTGAAAGGTGGCATCGTGTTTGTGGAGAGTATTCCGGTTAGTCCGGCCGGCAAGGTGCTGAAGAAGGTGTTGCGTGAGCAGCATGGCACCCGATGAGTCTCAAATAAAGCTATCGCGTCACAGTGTGTGCACTTTGTTCAAGTAGGATTGGGGACGGAACTTGAAGTTGAATTTTATTATACTTTCCCGCAATGTAGACGGAGGACTCACTGTTGAAGGTGGCCGTGTTGTTGACATGCACCGTAGAACACGCCATGTACTTCCGAAACCGAGGCGCGTAGGGTGCGGAACTTGTCAATAACTAACCGCCACAGTTTCTTGCGTGGCCCGGTTGCTGGAAGGCCTTATCAGTAAGGAAGTTTGGAAACCCTCTAGCAGCTAGGATCCGGCATCATCGGCCAGGAATGCGCGGCGAATTGGAAAGAGCCGAATCACACAGTCTGTGTGTTTTGGCTAACGAGTTGTGTGCCTCCAAGCTCTTGTCTAGGTATTTACACCATAGGTATGAATTCCCACCTATGAGAATACTAATGAGATACTTAAACTCGTATATTTTTATCATTCAATGACCAAGATTCTGCATACCTATTTACAGTCGTCATGTTAGCGCAGAAGTAAATTTTATTAACTATGTATTCCATTTTGCACTTATTGGAGCCGGGCGGAACACAGAAGGACTGTGTAAAATAGGACAGCCATCTTAGACGATGGAAGCAACAATATACAATAGTCGCACTGTATCCGAATGCCTGAGTTAATAAGAATTGTATAAACCTTATTTGCCTTAATTGCTGTAACGTCTTAATAACAAAAGCTTATAAGTCAGACCACAAACATAGAAGAGCTATTACCACATATTCAGAATACATAACCGGCATAGGGTAGAGCATGCTATACGATCGCCGTTTTCTTACGCTAACAAACGTATACCCAGATAACAAGCACCCTATCTTGGTGCAGTCGACAGTCTACAAAGCTCAGAAAAGATAGAGTCCTCCCGGCTCAACAGCGCCGCAGGGCTATCCAGCTCAACCACACTACCATTATCGATCACGGCGACCAAGTCGTGGTCGAGTATCGTCTGGATCTTATGGGCGATAGAAATGGTCGTGCAGTGCGGGAGAGCCTCGCGCAGCAGATGCTGCATCAGCTCATCCGTCTCCTGATCCACACTAGGAAGTAAAGTGGTTTGTCAGCCAGTCATGCGTACGAATGCTTATACAATTAATCGGAGGGGAACACTCACTAGCTGGTCGACTCGTCCATGATGAGAATCCTGCCGTCTGTGCGAAGCGTGGCTTGCGCGAGACAAAACAGTTGTCGCTGTCCATGAGAGAAAGACGCATCCGTCAATTCCGTGCTCAGTCCATCGGGCAACCTGGAGGCGTTCCAAAGTCGGAACTTGATCAGTATCGTGATGAGCTCCTCGTCAGTATGTGCGCCGCTGGGATCCAGGTTCGACCGCATCGTGCCGTGCGCGAGGAATGGCTCCTGCGGCAGAGTGATGAGCCGTCGTCGTAGCTCGTTGCGAGGGATTGTGCTGATGTCGACGTCGTCTATCCATATCGTTCCTGCGCTCGTGTTAATCAAGCGAAGGAGCGCTGACACGATGGAGCTTTTTCCGCTATAAAGAGCACATGTCAGTCATTCATCTCCTCATCGATCGTGATATGCTCTCCCGCAAGTGACCCCCTCCAATCTCAAGTAGGAGTTTTAGGCGACGAACCTTCCTGTTCTACCGCAAATGCCCAGGCGCTGTCCTGGGAATACCTGAAATGATATGCCCTTCAACACCGGTGGCAAATCAGACCTATACGAGGCTTCCACGGCTTCGAAGACAATGTGGCCTGCACTCGGCCAATCTGGCGGTGGAGTTTCCTTCTCAGCCGGCAAATGCTCCGAGGCTGTCGTGGTCTCGAGGTGTTGAATCCTGGCGACGGCACCCATGGCCAACTCCAACGCGGTCCACGTCGATATGAAGCTCTTCACATTCTGCCCGAAGCCCACGATGCCAAACAGCGCCAGACCTGTAAGGCCGCTGCTATACAGGTTTGTGTTGACGGCGGTGGAGACCACGATGATGGCCACGCCGGCATTGAGCAGGTCCAACACGAGGTTCAGCCATTGCTGCGCAAACGCAAGGCCGTAAAAGGGCTTCTGACATTCCTCCAGCGCCTGGTTGGCCCGCGAGATGTATTGCTCCGCCCACCTGAAAGCCCGGATCGTGGGCCCGCCGCTAATGAAGTCGAGGAAATGTGATAGGACGGGTCCGCGCGACTCGATGTCCAGGATCCGGAGTCGCCGGGAGGTGCGCAGGTAGAAGCGCTGCACGAGCAGGATGGCGACGAAGACGAATGGCATGATGATGCCTGTGTAATTCGACCCGATGATGATGACGACGAACTGGACGATGCACGAGATGAGGGATATGGTGGTGCTGATCAGCGCCAGTGGTAGCTCCGTGTCAATAAGCTGTAGATCTTGACTGAACCTGTTGCAGGTCTCACCTATGTCGACCACGTCGAAAAATGACATGGGTGCGCTGTCAATTGCGGTTATTTATCAGCATTTCTCGCTTACTTACTGCCGTGTGCTACTTGTACTTACTTGAGGACCGTCTCCAACAATGTGGAGTGGAACTTCCGAGCCGACCTGGGTACAATCTTCAACATGAAGTATGAGCTGGCACAGAGAAAAGCCAGCACGGCCGCCAGCCCCATGGACGCATATATCGCAAGGTAGAACGCGAGACGTTCGTTTCCTCGTGTGATGGTCTCACTCGTCCACCACTGAATCCACACACCTGATCAAGGGAGGAAGTCATCCTTCGTTAGCCGACGTTCAACTCACATGGCCCGACTGTGACTATGACCATGATAACTTACTCGGAAAAGCGACTCCTAACACGAATACCACACACATAACGGCGAAGACGGCCCAGCGTGGCCAACCAATCACTTTGGCATAATACATGTAGACGGCCTTGTCGCTGGGTTTATATAGCTCGACAGATTGGATAGCTTCCGTGATGGTAGTGGAAATTGGTGGCTGCACCGCGCCGCCCGCAGGTAGATCAATCCCAGCGATCTCGCCATCCCTATCCTCGTTGGAGTTCGTTGTAGCCACATCTCGAACTTGCGCTTGAACGCCGTCGCTTGTCCTGAAGTCGTCGTAGGTACCTTGCCACGCAACAATGCCCTCGGTATTAAGAACGACAATGTGGTCGGCACTGGATAAGTTGTTGATCGAGTTAGTTGCCATGACCACCGTCGTCTCCTGCTGCGCCAGGAGACCCGTTGGTCCGAACAGGCTGCTCCAAACCTGCTGCTCGGTCGTCGCGTCCAGCCCGCTGCATACATCGTCAAGAACGGCGATGCGCTTTCGCGAGTACACGAGCCTCGCGAGACCGATGCGAGCCTTCTGGCCGCCACTTAATGTCGTACCGTTGCTGCCAACCATGGCCTCGTCCGCTCGGGCCAGCTGCTGGAAGTCCTGGTCCAGCCCACAGGCGCGGACGACTTTGGCGTACCATGTCGCATCGAAGTCGCACATGCCGATGATGTTTTCCCTGGCGGTTGCGTTGGTGAGCCATGGTGTCTGGCTGCAATAGCCGAGCTCATCTCGGTTCAACGTGATGGTGCCGGTAGCGTACGGCACCTCGCCGAGTATGGCGTTGAGCAATGTCGTCTTGCCACAGCCGACGGGTCCGATGATCATCGTCAGCCTTGAATTCGGCAGGAATAGACTAATGTCAGATATAATTGGCGGCAGGTCCGCGTTCCAGGTGGCCGTCACGTCGGACATCATGATTGCGGCATTGCTGGGCTTCTCACCCATATTAGCATATGGGCTGCCGGACCCATATCTTTCATACTCGTCGCTGCACGGTTCTGTACTCATATGTGCTTGCATGCGCTCTAAACTTCCCCGGGCTGTCACCACTGCGAGCACGCAATTGATGCAGGAAGAGATTGCGGAACTGAGAAGAGAAAAGGCCGTCAATGAGGTGAACGCCACTGTAGCCGTGAGCGGCACAGTGTCTCGGACCAGAGACAGAATGCTGTAGGTGCCAAAGGCAAAGACCGGGGCCATGATAGATGATGTGTAAGTGAATGTAAACACGCCGATGAGTAGCTTACGAAACGACTGCGACTGTGCGATCTCGCGATCTCGTAGATGAGACACACGCTCGCGCACCGGTCCCGTGTTGCCAGTCAGCTTGACACCTTTGATCGATGTAATGGCGTTGATAGTCGTCGTGACGCGATCATTGATCGACTCGAACCAGACTGCTTGTCGCCCACTGGCTGTGGCCGTGAGCGTTAGTGTCGCGCCAATGCAGAGAAGCATGACAAGAATCCCAGCAACGGAAGAGACGTGTAGCTGCTTTACGAGTAGCCACGTGAACACAGCCATCTCTGTGGGGTTTGCCCAAAGCTCATGTGCGACTGCGAAACCGTGCACAACCTTTTCCATGTCCGCGCTGATGAGTGTCGCCACACCTTTGTCGGTCGATGAAGATGCCGTCTTGCATATTGTTCGGCGGTAGAGCAGTGCCGTCAAAGAGCCTCTTAGAGCTGTCATGAGACGGGCAACATTCGATTGGTATAGGACGCCAACAACCTACGTCAGACGATACGGAGCCACAGTCAGCCGTCAGAGCTTCTATAAAGCGTTTTACAACCCTGTTTGTCCGGACTTACTTACAGCGATGCCCACATACACCAGCGCATAGGCGATGCTGAGTCCTGCGCCCTGCCCAACTGGCCGCTCAGAACTGGAGAGGTATGAAGTTACGGCACTGACCAACAAAGGTTGGGCCAGGTTGAGCCCCAGCAGCAGGCATCGCGCTACAAGACCAATCAATAGCAATGATACGCGCCCCTTTAATATGAACTTGACAAGCTGCTTTGGGCTTTGTATGATGGCTATGAGTGTAAAAGAAAGATTGATAGTAAGCATACACCATGAGACCAATTTTCGAAGCACTTATCGTACCTGGATCCTCCTGCATCTGCGACATCAAGTCTTTGGGCTGGAATCTGAGCTCTCGATCTACAGGAAAGATATCACCAAGAACCAGCGGCTTCCTGAATCCTATCAAGAACAGCCTATTCAGCCACCAGAGAAACGCGCGGTTGATAATCCCAGCAGTCTCCTCAGATGTGAAGTCGTGTCTCGCCTTGATCAATGATTCACGCTTCTCCTTCATCTCCAGGGCAAAGAGCCAAGCCTTTAGAACCAGGCGCGTGGTGAAAATGGCAGCGACGACCGAATCGTCGAGAAACCATAGTGTACGTACTCGAAGGATGTCCAGAGGGATGGAAGCGAGGAGATATAGTGTCAAGATGGCTGATGGATGCGGCGACCGCACGTGTTCGGTGGCTGCCAGCCAAAGAAACGCCAGAGAACTGACGATGCCAACGGCAGATACTGCCGTCGAAGCAGATGTCGCCCGCACAGACGGCGAGAGGGCGATGACCAACGCCAAAGTGAGATCCAATGCCACATGGAGGGCCCATGATGCCTAGAAAACGGACCTTTAGCACCCAGGAGCAGTCAACGGGATCAATTAAAGTTGATATGGTCAACACATACCGTTTTGAGATACAAATGCAAGTTTCGGGGAAGCAGCTTTTCCCTTCTACGCAGCGCCAGCAGTCGGAACGAACCCAGCAGCAGCGCTAGCAGCATGGGCAAAAGGCCCAGAATCGTCTCTTCGAAAAGAAGGGTGAAGTTGAAGACGCCGTTACAACCTGCGGCCAAAGGACCAAACGAACGTATCGTGGTCGTTCGACATGCTTCGTCCATGTCAACAAGCTTGTGTTCTCACGAATGATGAAGGCACGAATGTTGTCGTTGGCCAGTTCTTCTCGAACGAATAATAATCGCTTCGGAGACATTATTCACAAAGTGTCGCACGAGAATCGAATTGCGAGATTCTGAATAGGAGTACGTACTGCCGAGAAAGGAGTCAGCCAAGAACTCTACATACACGCCCTCCGAGGTGTCAGGAACCAGGGGTCCATGCTGGAATAAGCGCTATGTAACCCGCGAAGGAAATCTTGAAGGATAGATCCCGGTCAGCACAATAGTCCCATTCGCAGAACTATGTGGGGCCTCCAATACAGTCAGCCCGGGTTCGGTCCGGACCGCTTGTGGCATTGAAAAGTTCCGTGCATGTGCCGCTTGTGGCCGCAGATGGTTGGTAAACTTGACGCTAACGTTAGTTACCCTATAACTAGTTACCTCCTTAAACTAGCTACTTTTTTATAATAGCCTAAATTTAAATTAATTAATAGTTTTCTTTATAATATAGTATAAAATTATTTAATTAAATTAAGATTTTTATCAATAAATACTTAAGTAAATTTATATAATAACTTTCTTATTTTAATTTAATAACTTTTTTTTTAAATGTATAAATAATTTTTTTTAAGTTTTAAAAGTATATTCTTTTTAAGCATTTTTAATAAATTTAATTCTTATAAACTTATTACTTTTTTTAAAATAAAGTTTTTATAAATGTTATTATTTTTAATTTTAATTTTTAAGTTTCTTATTATATTAATATATATTCTAAATAAATCTTAAAATATTAACTTACTAATTCTAGTTATAGTAATAAACTTTTATATAAGATTTTTATTTATAATTATTTAATAATATTAAAAATAAAGTAATGAAGTAATAAATTAGTGGTTAGTCTATAGAGGTAGCTGGTTATAGGGTAACCGAGGTTAACAGCAGGTATTACATGTGGAAAAGATTATATAGCAAGGGGCTTTATGTCTCTTGAGTTAGGATGGCATTATAAATGCAGCGCTATTATAATTGCCACTTGATTAAGAGTTATATACACCCATCTAAACCGCTCCACCAAATATTGCATTTACTACGAATCGACGCAGAAACCCCAACGTGTCCAAGCTGAGCCACTTTTGACGGGAATAAGTCCGAATTCCAATGATGGGCGACTATCATGGCCAAGACCAAACGAGCCTGGCGGTAATTGGAGCGGGTGAGTGCCTATTGATCATTCACGCGACAGTCAGATGAAGAGAGACTGACGGTTTGGGTTTCTGCATATAGGTGCTATGGGAAGCTCCATGCTTGCCTGTATGCTGAAGCGCACGCAGAGAGCCAACGCCAATACCGATGCAGCAGATACGGCAGTCATCGACTTCGATGCCTTTGTCGCCTGCGTGAGCAGCAACGGATCAGCCGAGCGCTTGTCCAACGACGCGCGGTTCACGCAAGCCATTCGCGAAAAGAAATTGAACATCACTCACGGAGACAACGCCGAGGCCATGTCGCGAGCCAGCGTTATATTGCTGGCGTGTAAGCCTGGACAGGTGCAGACGTTACTCTCCGAGAAAGGTGTTAGTGAGGCGGTAAAGGGCAAGCTCGTCATCAGTGTGCTGGCGGGCAAGACGTGCGCACAGCTCAGTGAGTACATTTACCCGATCTCAACTGCTCTAGCACATGAGAAAGACCGGTGCTGGATCGTGCGGGCGATGCCGAGCCTGTCGGCGACGGTGGGCGAGTCGATGACCGTGCTGGAGGATTTCCCGGCCAACATGCCGCCCGCTTTAGCGCAACGAGCGACACAAGTCTTGGGAATGGTGGGCAAGGTTCGCATGGTGTCAGCCGATCTATTCGACACAGCGACGGTCGTCGTAGGCTCGACACCGGCCTTTCTAGCCATCGGCATTGACGGCATTCTCGACGGTGCCGTTTCCGAGGGCTTGAGGAGGTCCGAGGCTGCGGCCATGATGGCGCAGGTGCTCACTGGGCTGGGGAAGCTGATGGCCGAGGAGGGTCAACATCTTGGCATGCTGAGGGAGAGTGTTGCCAGTCCCAAGGGGGCTACTATCGGAGGCATCCTGGCGCTTGAGAAGGCCGCTGCTAGATATGCGTTTTCTGAGGCGGTCATGCAGGCTGCTGCGCGGATCAAAAAGCTCTAAATGAGAAATACGGTGTCATTATCTATAACTTAGTACATTGGAGAATGCTCTAGCAAAGTACAGCCGCGGTGTAGTTGCAGATCCACAGTAGAGATGTGTTGCTTCTCCCACATGCTGTAATGCGTGCCGTCCACGTCCAGTACCGCCGCCATGATGTCCGATTCATAGTTCTCCCAGCCCAGTGCCCGTTTTTCCCGATAAACGTCATTTTCTTCCATCTTCTCTCGCCCGCGAATGAGCACAGTTCGCGGTGGTACAATCGGTGCTGTCCATATGGGTGGTTGCCATTCGTCGATCAACTTGGCCGCTTGCTCCATTGAGCGCTCGACGGCTTGTCGTATCTCCGGTTTGACGTGCTGTCCCATTGCGGCCTTGGAGTTGGCCACACGCGTTTCGGCTGACTTCTTTTCGCTGGTTGATGGACCGTGTGGGAAGTCGGTGTCTATCATGACGACTCCCCTGACTCTGATGGGACAGCGCGGCATGAGGGCTAAGATGTGCGCTGCCTCAAGCGCAACCATGCCACCTAAAGACCATCCTCCAATGAGGATTTCGCCCTCAGCCACGACCCGGAGTATCATCTGGCAGTACTCGCGAGCCATTTCGGTGATGCCGCCCGGCCATTGCTCTCCGTCGCCTGTCCGAGGGTTGTAGATGCCATACACGGCACGTCCGAGCGATTTGAGGAGGAAGTAGTTGAAGACTGAACCTCCTCCGTCGTGAATCAATACCAGAGGTGACCGCCTGAAGCCTGGCGGTGCCGGCTGGATCAGCATAGGGTTGGACTGCGCCATCTCTGATCTCGTTATGAACGTTCGCGAACTCAGATGGGAAATAGTTGAAGGTGTGAAAATGCCGTCTTTCGATCGTGCAATGACGATGCCAGGATACTGAGTTTCGTAGCTAGGAGATCCGGCAACCACTTGTGAAGCCACGCCCCTGTCAAGAAATGCGCGAAGGACGGCCGCGATGGATGCGGGGAACGGGGACAAACGCTGACGATGTTGATTAACAACAGTCAGCAACATGCCTGCCAATGGGGTCATACTTTAACACCGTTCCATCTACCTCACTGCCCCTGTCCAGAAAATGCGCGAAGGATAAGCGAATTGATACAATCCTCAAGGATAAGCGAATGGATAAAATCCTGAAGGATGAGCGGATGGATATAATCCTGAAGGAAAAACTGCAGTCAGCAATATCTCCGCAGGGACCAGACTACTACCCTTGTCGACATTAATTAGCGGTTCCATCCACCTCACTGCCCCTGTCTAAAAAATGCACGAAGGATGAGCGAATGGATATGATCCTGAAGGAAAAGCTGCAGTCAGCAATATCTCCGTAGGGACTAGACTACTACCCTTGTCGGGAGCTCACTTCCCTTTCGGGACTTATGCTGATGGTATCGTCTAAGCATCGCTTCAGCGGCTGGACTCTGCAGCACGTGCAAGAATTCATGCAGCTGTATGATGCCATCGCGGTTTTTTCAGTACTATCGCGTTTTGTAAGACCTTTGCTGTATACCAGCAAAAGTACAGTTCGTTGAATTATTGCTATGCGATTCAACCGTTTCTGAATAGCATCATTGAAACCAGATCAGAAACCAGATCGAAGAATCGACCGACCAATCACGACATATACCACCTTGAACATACCGAATATCCCACGAGTTTGCATAATACCACCGATTACGATGACGGCTTTGGGCGCAGAGAACCTGCGCGTCATATGCGCCCGGATCCTGAACGTGGCCACCAAAAAGATCGACTTGGAGAAGTCCTTTCTGCGACTGGGAGGAGACTCCATGGCCGCCATTGAGCTTCTATCGGCTTTCCGAGACCATGGCTGCGATGTTTCGATCCAGCAGATTCTTGAGGCCGACTCACTGTCTCAGCTACTCGAAGTAGGCGCTACTACTGCCAATATTATCGATGAGAATGTGCCTTTTGCGCTGTCGCCCGCCCAGGCTTTGCTCATGAGGACTATCGAGAATGAGATCGAGACCAAAGGAGGCAAAGAGCAAGCGACTCAGAACAAGTACCACCAAGGACGACGATTGGAGCTAGTCACCGATGTCCCGCATGAGGCGATTGAAGCAGCATTGGGCGCAGTTGTCTCGCGGCACGCCATGCTTCGCGCACGCTTTGTTCGATCAGAATCCCAGCAATGGCTTCAAACAATCAGCCCTTACAATCCAGAGAGCTACATGTTCCGTGTCGAGCGAGCGCTTGGAACTGCTGAGTACGAGTCGATTATTACTTCTCTGCATGACTCGATCGACTACGTGGAAGGGCCGGTCTTCGGAGCGACATTCTTCGAGACCACGCCTGATGGTCGTCGAGTATTGTACTTGGTGGCTCCATCGCTCATTATCGATGCAGCGTCCTGGGCTATTCTCATCGCCGACCTTGAACAGATCCTTGAGAGGAAAGCGCTGACCCTCCAACCTGCGGCATCGTTCCAAGTATGGAGTGATGAGCAGGAGGCTGCAAATAACATGGCTTGGCAAAGCTGTGAATCTGCCGTGCAATTTGGGCATATTGACGAGACACTGGAGTCAAACACGGCGGGTCTGTTGAACGACATCTTCTGCCGAGCAACTCACCATGTCGATGCCGTCGATATCCTCCTCGGGGCGCTGATCGCCTCGTCTAAGGCGGTTTTCGCCGACAAGAACGTCCTGGCAATCTCCCACAACCTCCCCAGCGAAGATCAGCGCAAGGGTGACTTCCGATTCGCGAGGACACTAGGAAACTTCACTCGGCTACGCTACCTACGAGTTGGTATAGAAGACATTGACGAGCCGTTGACTGAGGTCGCTACTCGAGTGGCAGCCTCTCGAAACTCTACTTCGAACACGGAACTGGAAGCAACAGACAGTCTCGGCAGTGCTGTGAATTTCCATTACGATGGACCGACCCAAGAATCCTATGCCAGCACCACTTTCCGCGAGACTTGGGTCGACGATTCCAACAAGAAGAAGAACACGAGTTCACACCCGACGACACCGATTGACATACACGCGAGCTTCATACAAGGGTCATTACGACTCCGCCTGAGCTACGACATCCGAACCGCCAAGCATGAGGACCTGCAAAGATGGCTCGCCCGCGCTGTGACCATGCTTCGCTCTGTACTATCGAGCGAAGCACACGAGGACCCGAGAGCGAATCTCACGCGGGCCTTACCCACCAGTACTGACCGACGTGATCTGCTGTTGCAGACAGTGGCGAGCCTACCTGTGTCGATGCGTGATGCAGTCGTTGACGTCTATCCTTGCTCGCCTATGCAAGAGGCTATGATGTTCAGCCAGATCCGAAACCCAGGATTGTACAGATGCTCGTACTCGTTCGAAATGCTGTCAACAGCTCTTGGCACTGGGCATCATGTTGACGCCGCGAGGATCCACACCGCTTGGAACCAGGTCGTGGATCGTCACTCAGCCCTGCGGACCGTGCTGATGAATAGCACGACACGCAGCGGTCACTTTGATCAGGTGGTGTTTTCCTCGCTAGGAGATAACGTCATCCATTCACAGAGCGATAAAACGCAAACGCCCTTCGGAACCTTGAGTGAGCTCATACGCTCGTTCCAAGTGCCGTACCGCTTCACCATCTCGACCACGGACTCGGGCGCCATCATTTGCACGCTCGACGTCAGCCACGCAATCATTGACGGAGAGTCCCTGCCGACCCTTGCTAGAGACTTATGTTTGGCATACCAAGGCAGCCTTCCGTTTCAACCTGCACCTCACTTTGGAGATTACATTGTATATCTTCACAGCATCGACCACAGTGTAGCACGATCGTACTGGGAACAGTATCTCGCCGATATCGAACCATGCTACTTCCCTCCGGCCGACGGCGATCGAACCGAAAGACGTTTGCAGCAAAAGCGCACCAATATTCCCCTGGATGCCACACATGTCCAAGCCGTCTGCGAACGCTACAAAGTGACGCTTGCCACCATTTGCCAGGCAGCATGGGCGCTGGTGCTCAAGTACTTCACGGGCTCGCAGGATGTGTGCTTCTTCGTGTCCACCGCCGGTCGTCAAGGCGTGCTTGATAACATCAAAGAAGCAGTCGGACCACTACTCAATACCCTAATATGTCGGCAGCGTCTGGACGGTGACGATGTCACCCTCGGAGACATCGTTAAGGACCTGCAGCAGGGTCGGCTCAAAGCTCTTGAGCATGAGTACTTTCCCTTGCGTGAGACAGAGGGCAGCAAGCAGTCGGCAGGACAAGCCCTTTGTAATACCATTGTATCGTATCAGCGGAAGCCGGACCTCGATACGAGTCTCGTCTCGGAGCTTCGAGTTCGACTGCAGCAGGGCTACAATCCGACCGAGGTATGCCGAGCACACCAGCCCTCAAACCTGTTGATTCATAGTCAGTTCAATATACTGACATAGCTTCCAAATAGTACGACATATCGCTCAACCTGGAAGCAAGCGAGGACACACTCGGCGTGAGTCTCGGATACTGGACGTCGCATTTGAGTCCATGGATGGCAGGTAACGTAGTTGCAACTTTCCGCACCGCCCTTTCCTTTGTTCTTGATTCCCCAACTTGTACTTTAGGACAACTTGACCTTTTCAGCCAGGACAATCAGCAAACAGTACAATTATGGAACAGCAAGACACCTCGAGCAGTGGAGGACTGCGTCCACGGCATCGTTGAGCATCAAACCAAGCTGCAACCGAACGCTCCGGCTCTCAGCTCCGCCGAGCGAGACTGGACGTACCGCGAGCTTGATGATGAGGCGTCGCGGCTCGCGTGCTACCTCGTCCAGATGGGCGTAGGCGCCGAGGTCATGGTGCCGCTCTGCTTTGACAAGTCTCCCTTTGCCATAATTGCCTTATTGGCGGTTCTCAAGGCCGGCGGTGCTTGTGTGCCTCTGAGCCCGGACTACCCCGACGCCCGAGCCAATGCCATTATCACAGATGTGAACGCCAGTGTGGTGCTCGTGGCGCCCGACTACCGCGCTCGTTTCGAGTCATTAGCGTCATCGCGGTACCGTACCGTCATTGTTGATGCGAAATTGATTGCCTCGTGTCACGAGCGCCTCCAATCACACGCGCAGCAGCCAAGAGCGAACCCGGACAACGTCGCGTACTTGATCTTCACCTCCGGCAGCACAGGAGTTCCAAAGGGTGTGATGCTGGAGCACCGAGCTCTCGCCAGCAGCTGTACAGCGCATGGTAAGGCCTTTGGCCTGGGTCCGCACTCAAGAGTGGTCCAATTCGCCGCCTATACATTCGATGCAAGCATCCAGGACATTTTTACTACGCTGCTCCTCGGCGGCTGCGTATGCGTTGTTTCAGATCATGAGCGTCTGAACGATCTCAGCAACGCTATCAACCGCACCCAGGCCAACTTCATCAACCTCACGTCCACCGTCGCCGTGCTGCTGGACCCGCGTGAGCTCCCGACTCTTCGCACTATGATCCTCGCTGGAGAGCCAGTGAGAGCTGACGTTGTAGAGCTCTGGGCCGAGCACGTCGTCATTTACAACTCGTATGGACCCTCCGAGTGCTCTATCAACTCGTCTTGCAGTAAGAGGGTCACTGATAAGAACAACGCTGCCAACGTTGGCAAACCCTTGGTGTGCAATCACTTCTGGGTCGCTGACCCGGCAAACCACGACTACCTGTCTCCCGTGGGCAGCATTGGAGAGCTCCTCATCGAGGGGCCGTTGGTTGCTCGGGGCTATCTAAATGACGAGGCCAAAACGCGCGCTTCCTTCATCTGCGATCCGGCGTGGGTGTCCAGATTCGGATCTGTGCGTCGCCGCATGTACAAGACTGGTGATCTCGTCCGCTACAATAACGACGGAGGCTTGACCTATATCGGCCGCAAAGACAGGCAGGTCAAAGTCCGCGGTCAACGCGTAGAGGTCGCCGAAATCGAGTTTCGTCTCTACGAGCAGATTCCCACCGCCAGGACCGTGGCCGTCGAGCTTGTGACGCATCCTCGTCATCCCGATAGGTTGATGCTTACGGCGTTTTTGGCTCTGCGCGTGGATGGCGAAGAAGACGAGGGGACAGTCCAGGCCACCCAAACATCTTCGTCGTTGTCACCTTTACCGTCATCGGCGACCCTACGCAACTCTTTTGCCGATGCCGCTATTGCGCTGGCGCAGCACCTCCCTGCCTACATGATTCCATCCATGTACATTCCGCTGGCAAGGATGCCGGAGAACATGTCCCGCAAGCTGGACCGTAGGAGGCTTCACAAGGTGGTCGAGACCATGGAGGACGAGGAGCTCGCCGTGTACGGTCTGACGGGAGCACGCAAAGAACAAAACGAGCTCAACACAGACATGGAGCGCCGGATGCGCGACATGTGGAGCTACATCCTGGGCATCAAGGCGGCCACCATTGGCGCTGACGATGGTTTCTTCCAGCTGGGTGGCGACTCCGTGGCGGCCATGCGTCTAGTCACGGCTTGTCACGAGCAGGGGCTTACTCTGACGGTGGCGGACTTGTTCCAGAGTCCCAGGCTGTCTGAAGTAGCCCGACTCGTCAAGACCGCTGACAACAACGGCGCAGATGATCTTCATGTCAAACGTTTCGCTCTTTGGGATGAACCTCGAGAGACTCGCAATGAGCGACTTGAGGAGATAGCCGCGCTCTACCGCACACCTATCGATCGCATCGAAGATATATATCCCTGCAGTCCTTTGCAGGAAGGTCTGATGGCATTGACGATGCGTCAATCCCAAGCCTACGTCGGCCGTGCCGTCTTTCGACTACATGAGAACATCGACCTGCCTCGCTTCAAATCAGCCTGGCAAAACGTCTCCAACGCAAACCCCATTTTGAGGACGCGCATCATCCCGGGCATTGCTGCGGGAGCTACATCCCTGCAGGTCGTCGTCAGGGAGGATATCGAGTGGGAGGAGGCGGAGGATGTTGAGAGCTGTTTGGAAGGCAGCGGTGGTATGACATATGGCGAGCCGCTTCTGCGATTCACCATTGTCAACTCCGGAACCACTTCCAAGTCCCTCGTGTGGGCGATTCATCATGCCTTGTACGACGGCTGGAGCAAGCGAATCCTGCTGCGGCAATTGGAGGAATGGTACCACGGAAGCAGTATACCTGACCCTGTCCCATTCACGCACTTTATCCGGCAGATATCTCTCGACAATGACCAGGACGCGAGCTCTTTATTCTGGACTAGGCAGCTCAGAGGTGTCAGGGCTCCCGCATTTCCAGCTTTGCCGTCAACGACGTATCAGCCAAGACCCAACGCTCGATTACAGAGGGTCGTGCCTCTGCCCTTGCCGTCGCGTGCCACCGGCTCCGTAGGATCCGGCGTTCCCTCATCGGTCGTCCTCCGAGCTGCCTGGGCCGTCGTGCTGGCAGCGTATTCCGCCTCTGACGATATCGCTTTTGCAGTAACGCTGTCGGGCCGCAACATCGCCGTACCAGGCCTCAACATTGCCGACATGGCCGCCCCGACCATGACGACCGTCCCGGTCCGCGTACTCCTGGACCGCCACCAAACCGTCAACGAGTACCTGTGGTCTATGATGCAGCAATCAGCGGCCATGGTACCTCATGAGCACGCAGGTCTGCAGAACATCCGCCGCATGCTTCTTCGAGATGGAGAGGATGCTGCCAGGACCCCGATGCAGCTCAACAACCTCTTCATGGTTCGTCTGCCGAACGAGCAGGCACATGAGATGCCGTCCATCTTAACCGAAGAGCCCAGAGATGGCCAAATAGCCGAGGACTTTGGCTCCTATGCGCTGATTCTTAGTTGTGGCATTGAAGGTGACGGTGCTATGGATGTTGAGATGGGCTACGACAAGACTGTCGTCTCGGACGGCATGGCTGAGATGCTTCTGGGGTATTTCTCTCATGTTGTGAGCATGCTAGCCAATGATGCTCATGCTCAGCTATCGGTGGGCGATGTGGCGTGCGCTGGTCCTCAAGATATCCGTCAGATACAGCAGTGGAACCAACACACCCACACCAATGGCCACCCTCACCCAAAGGAAGTCAAGAAGCTCAGGTGCATCCACCAGCTTGTCGAGGCGCAAGCTGTTATCAACCCCGACGCGCTGGCCGTACAATCGTGGGATCAAGATCAGGACCTCACATATGCCGAGCTTAATGCGCTCTCGACTGCGCTCGCAACGTACCTCGGTCATCGGGGCGTGACTGAAGGTGCCAAAGTGGCGCTCTGTTTTGAGAGATTGGCCTGGGCGATTGTGCCACAGCTCGCTGTGCTGAAGGTTGGTGGCGTCTGCGTCCCCTTGACCCCAGACCAATTGTCGGATGCAACCAGCGGTCGTGCCATACTCGAACAAGTGAAGCCAATTTTATGCTTGACCAATCGGTCACACCAGACTATGCTTGAGAAACTCAACTGCCAGGCTCTCTCGATCGATGCCGGGCTCATTGGTGAGCTTGTGAAGAGATCAACCAATGGGCATGGGACAAACGGCACAAATGGACACCGATCTGAATCCTCATCAGAAACCACGGCGTTCATGCTATACAATACTTCTGACAAGGAGGCAGAGATGGCCGATGGCATCGTCTCTCTGAGTCATGAAGCACTCATCACCACTTGTCAGGCCTACGGGGAGGTCCTTAGCCTAAACAAGGGCTCCCGAGTCGCACACTTCGTGCCATACGCATCGGCCCAGGGAATCCACGACACATTCGCCACGCTTCTGAGCGGCGGCTGCATCTGTGTTCTGTCAGAGGAAGAGTGTGCTGATGATGCAGCTGGCGGTATTGGCAGGTCGGGAGCGACCATTGCTTGCTTGGATCACCCAAGCTTGAGTACCATGACAGCATTGCCAGAGCATGCACCGTCGCTCAGGAGTTTGGTTGTTCATTCGAGCGAGCTGACAACGGGACTCTGGAGCAGGAACCGAGACGCGATGAAGCAATGGGGCGAGGAGATGAGAATGCTCGAAGTCTATGGGACCGTCCGAGGCCGGGGTCCCATGGCGTATCGAAGACTCCATTCAGACACCGAGCAGGAGCAGAGCCCAGGCTGGCTGCCGATCAGCCGCTCGTCGTTGCTTTGGGTGGTTGACCCGCGAGACCACGACAAACTACAGCCTATAGGCAGCATCGGTGAGCTTCTCATCGAAAGCACCTTTGTCGAAGCCTCTGCCACCACGAGCGATCGTCCATGGCAACCGCGATGGGCTTCCCAGCTAGGCCAGAGCGGCAAGCAGGGAACGTACCACAAGACTGGGGAACTGGTACGCTATAATGCGGACGGGTCACTCACATCGGTCGGGTCCAAGGATGAGTACATCCAGATTCTCAGTCAGCGCGCAGAGGTTGAGGCCCGACTGCTGGAACGGATCAAGGGTTATGAATCAATTGCGGTTGAAGTTGTCGTACCACTCAAGGGGGTAAAGAAGCCAACGGTGATGGCCTTCTTGGTGGAGAAAGAGACACCCCGATCGAACGGCACGAACGGTCATTCATCGACACTGGCGAACGGGCATCAGAAGAACGGCACAACGAACGGGACAACAAAACCTGGCCCGGTGGTTAATGGTATACACCCGTTACCGCCTTCCGATCGACTGCAATCCGACTTGGCCGAGATTCGCGCATCTTTGGCCGATGCTATCCCGTCATACATGACTCCTACCGTCTACGTGCCCCTGGCTCGTATGCCACGAACGTCCAAGGGCGAAGTCGACCGGCAGCGTCTTCGCGACATTGCCAAATCCATCGACGAGCGACAGTTGGCCGCATACGGCGATACCGGGGCCAGCAGTAGGGCGACGAAACTGAAGCCCTCCACTGACCTGGAGAAGCATCTGCAGAGCCTGTGGAGCAGAATCCTTGGGGTTAAAGAGACCCTCATCGGCGCAAGCGACAGTTTCTTCCAGCTCGGAGGCGACTCGGTCGCAGCTATGAGGCTCGTTGCGCTGGCGCGTCGGGAACAAGTCGTCACCACCGTCGCGAGCATCTTTGAGCACCCGATACTCCGCGACTTGGCGGTGGTCATCGAGCAGGAGGAGGCGGCACGAATCGGCGGCGCAAACAGCGAAATTGCTGCTGATGAGGAGACCATCGCTCCTTTCGCCTTGTGGGATGAAGTTGATGATATGAGCGTTAAATCGCGTTCCGAACGCGTGGCCCAGGTCGCGGCGCAGTGTCAGATCCTGCCGGAGCAGATTGAGGATATTTACCCCTGCACGCCGCTCCAAGAGGGTATGATGGCCATTACGATGCGTCAACCGAGGGCCTATATCGGGCGTGTGGCTTTCCGGATCTTGGAAACCGTCGATTTGGGGCGCTTCAAAGCAGCGTGGGATCGACTGGTGGCTGAGAATCCCATCCTGCGAACGCGCATCGTTCCGGGACTTAGCGCTGGACCGCAGTCCCTGCAGGTGGTTGTCAAGGAAGGTGTTCAATGGCGCACCGGCGCTTCTGTCGATGCGTACCGGCTTGAGGATGACAAAACTACAATGTCCCTGGGTGGTCCGTTGGCGCGCTACGGGATGGTGGAGTCGCGATCTTCCAACGGAGACAACGCCGTCTTCTTCGTCTGGACGATCCACCACGCCCTTTTCGACGGTTGGAGCAGGCAGACTCTTTTGAGTCAGCTCCAGCACCTATACATGCACGATGAGCTGGCTGCTCCCGTCGTGCCGTACAATCGCTTCATGAGATACCTCTCCCAGTCCCCGTTTGAGAAAGTTGAAGCGTTCTGGAAAGACCAGCTTCAGGGTAACGTGCCGCGGAGCTACCCTGCACTACCATCACCAGCGTATCTACCACGGCCCAACGCAAAGATGCAGGCGTTTGTGCGGATGGACATGGATAATGCGAAGATTGGTGGGTGGGATATGCCACTGTCTGTAATGCTTCGTGCCGCTTGGGCAGTTGTTATGGCGACGTACTCGGGGTCCGATGATGTTTTATTCGCCTCAACACTCTCTGGTCGCAGTGCACCTGTGGCAGGCATATCAGATATCACAGGTCCGACGATGACCACTGTGCCCATCAGAATCACAATTGATCGGCAAGGCTCCGCGCTGGATTTCGTGCGTGCCGTAAACGAACAGGCGACGAGAATGATTGCTTTCGAGCAGACGGGTTTGCAGGATATCCGTCGTCTGGTTGGCAAGGCCGACGACGCGCTCGGTCTCGGTCTCACCACCAACTTCCTTGTGCAGCCGGCAGAAGCCGAGTCGCAAGAGTCGGCGCTCATGGTCTCGGAGCGTGATGGTGCGGCTACCCTAGATTTTGAGGCATACCTGCTTATCCTCGAGTGCTGCGTGGAGTCGACCGGCGTGACGCTCAAGGTCCAGTACGACGACAATGTTGTCAATGTAAAACGTGTCGAATCGTACCTGTCGCAATACCAGCACGTCCTGGCGCAGCTTACATCTGCTGGGCAGCAACAGACAGAGCCAGTAGTGCCAGTGGGCTCTTTGTTCTCGGCGGGCCCACAGGACATGGAGCGTCTGCTGGAATGGAACAAAGAGGTACCGCCAGCTCTGGAGGAGTGTATCCATCAAATTGTACAAAATCAGGCCGACTTACAACCTGATGCCCCCGCCATCTGTTCCCGAGATCTCAATCTCACATATCGTGAGCTGGATGAACTTGCTGCTAAGCTTGCGGGCCAGCTGGTCGACCTTGGAGTGGCAGCCGAAGTCAACGTCCCACTCTGTCTCGAAAAATCAGCATGGGCTATTGTCGCCGAGCTAGCTGTGCTAAAAGCCGGAGGCGTCTGCGTGCCGCTGGATCCCGCGCGCCCGGCCGTCCAGAACGAGGCGATCCTCCGCAACGTCCGACCGGTGATCATCCTCGCTAGCCCACAGCACGAGGAACTCTTCCGCAACAGCTCATGCAATGTCTTGCCAATTGACGATACTCTGCAGAGGAAGCTTCAGAATGCGCAACCGTTCCGGCGCGGGGTCGCGACGCCTGGGAACAATGCCTTCATTATTCATACTTCCGGTAGTACCGGCGTGCCAAAGGGCGTTGTTCTGCAACACAAGGCACTCGCAACATCCTGCCGAGCACACGGCGAGGCCTTTGGACTAGGCCCTCAGTCTCGCGTTGTGCAGTTCGCAGCGTACACATTCGATGCGTCCATTCAGGACATATTTACCACTTTACAGCAGGGCGGGTGCGTGTGTGTCATATCTGACTATGAGCGCATGAACAATCTATCAGCAGGAATCAACCGGACACAAGCCAATTTCGCCAATTTAACCTCAACTGTGGCTGCTCTCTTGCGTCCTGACCATGTGCCTACCCTCAAGACCATCATCTTGGCTGGCGAACCTGTCCGGCCTGAGGTTGTTGCGCTGTGGGGTAACCGTCACGACGTCAAGCTGCTCAACTCGTACGGACCTTCAGAATGCTCAATCAATTCATCCTGCAGTCCCCCGATAGAGGACGCGGCATACGCTTCGAACATCGGAGGACCGCTCGCCAACTTGTTCTGGGTGGTAGACCCCACAGACAGCGACAGACTATGCCCGCTTGGCGCCGTCGGCGAGCTACTCATCGAGGGCCCCATACTGGCACGTGGATACCTGCACGATGAAGCCAAGACGAGGAGCTCGTTTATCTACGACCCGGCATGGATCCGGCAGTACGGTCTCGGCGCTGGGCGCCGCATGTTCAAAACGGGCGACCTAGTCAGGTACAATGACGACCGGGGGTCGCTTACCTACATTGGGCGAAAAGATACTCAGGTCAAGATCCGCGGTCAACGTGTTGAGATTGGTGAGATTCAGCACCAGTTGCATCGCCTCGTGCCTACGGCCAAGACTGTCGCTGTCGAACTGATCCACCACCCGTCACATCCCGAACGGCACATTTTGGCTGCATTCGTGGCCCTGGAGGACACCGCGGATCAAGACCGTGAGAATGGCGACGAGGATATTGCTAATGGAGCCCGGGCTCTGTCGCTCACGGACTCGCTGCGACGGCGATTCTCGGAAGTGTACGGTGCGCTTGGTTCTGTCCTGCCACACTACATGGTCCCATCCGTCTATGTACCTGTCAACAAGATGCCCGAGAACGCATCCCGGAAGCTGGACCGCAGACAGCTACGCTCCATGCTTGAGTCGATGAGCGAGATCCAAATCGCCTCGCACAGCCTCGCGGGCGGTAACGGCGTCGTCAAGGTGGCGCCATCAACAGTCATGGAAAAGAGGCTTCAAAGTCTCTGGGCCCGCATCCTGGGCATGTCCTCGCCTGATGTAATCGGAGCCACGGACAACTTCTTCCATCTTGGAGGAGACTCGGTAGCGGCAATGCGTCTTGTTTCGCTCGCCCGAGACGATGGGGATGTCTCCATCACTGTCAGTGTCGCGCAGATTTTCGAGTATCCCATCCTTCAAGACTTATCTAGGGAGCTCGAAGGAGCAATGGAGGCGACACCGGAAGTGGCCTCGGTCAATGGAGTGAGCGTACCCGAACCCTTTGCGCTTTGGGCTGAGGAGCCGACGAAACGACCTACGCGCCTCCAAGAGATCGCAGCAAAGTGCGGCGTCCTGGCCGACGACATTGAAGATGTCTATCCTTGCACGCCGCTCCAGGAGGGTCTCATGGCGGTGACGGCCTTCCAAGCCAAGGCATATGTACGCCGTAGCTCTCACATAATCCCCGACGCTATTAAGACGAGTCAGCTTGAAGCGGCGTGGCGAAGCGCTGTAAGGACATATGCGATTCTGCGAACGCGAATTGTTCCCGTGGGCTTCAAGGACGCCAAGTCTCTCCAGGTCGTCATCAGGAACCAGGACTGCCAGATGCGTTGCCGCACACTCGCCGAGTTCAAGCAGGCGGACGCTCTCGAGGACATTTCCCACGGCAAAGCGCTGTTCAGGTACGCTATTGTCGTGGACGAGGACAGTGGCGACCGTCACTTCGTTTGGACGGTTCATCACGCCGTATATGACGGTCGGAGCTTTCAGCTACTTTGGAAACAAGTCGACGAGCTCTTCTACCACGGCCTGCAGCCCCCTGTTATTCCATTCAATCTCTACATCCAGTACATCGAGAACTCGAGCGTCGAGGCCGAGACAGCCTACTGGCGCGCTCAGTTATCGATTGCAGAGCAGCAGCCAGTGACCTACCCGTCGGGTCTACACTCCGCCTACATCCCGCGAACGACGATGCGGGTGACGAAGCGAACTCGCGTGGCCGACCCTGCTACTACGGAGCTCTCGGCATCGCACGCGACCGTCATGCGGAGCGCGTGGGCTATCGCCGTGTCAAACTTCAGCGGCTCACGCGACATCATCCTTGCCGAGGCCCTGTCCGGTCGCACCGCCCCCGTCCCCGGCATCGAAGACATGGTCGCACCCACCATCACCACTGTGCCTCTCCGCGTACGCCTGCAACCAGCACAGCGCGCGGTCGACTACGTAGCGGACATCCATCGACAGACAGTCGCCATGATGCCCTTTGAACACTGCGGTCTGCAGCGGATCCAAGCCATGGTGGATAAGAAGCTTGATCTCGGGCACCTGTTCGTGGTGCAGCCACTGTCGCGCGATGAGATGGCGGCCAAGATCCCCCAGTACCAGGAGGTGACGCCCATTGAGGACGGAGTCGATGGGTTTGACTCGTATGCGCTTGTGGTGGAGTGCAATATTGCCGCTACTGGCGGCGACGTCCTCATCGAAGCAAGATTTGACGAGTCCGTCTTGGACGTGGAGCAGGTCTCGCGTCTCGTCGATCATTTCTTCCACGTACTCTCGAACCTTCTCGGCACCACCGGCAATAATAAAGACGCCTCGGTCGCTGAACTTGGTGTGGCGTCACAGCAAGATGTCCGCCAGATCGTCGAGCGGCAGGCTTCTGTCGACTTGACGCGCGTTGACACTACGGCGAATGGGCTGTTCGAACAACAGGCTGCACGCTCGCCTGATCAGCTCGCCGTTGACGCTTGGGACGGCAAGCTCACTTATCACCAGCTTAATCAAGTATCATCCCGTCTGGCGGTTCGGCTCCGGCTCGCTGGTGTCAAGATTGGGGATCGAGTTGCTTTGCATTTTGACAAATCGAAATGGGCTATTGTCTCAATGTTAGCCACTCTGAAAGCCGGGGGAGTATTTGTTCAACTGTCACCGAAGCATCCCGAAAGCCGCATCAAGGCAATCATCCAGAACAGCGGAGCTTGTATAGTACTGACATCCGAGAATCACACGTCGAGACTCGGTGGTCTTGTCGACCAAGTCATGGTGCCTGATGATTCACTATTTGCGATTGAAAGGGAAGAGTTTGGCAGCGCTTCAATCAACGGCAACGCATCTCTCTCCGTGGGTTCTGGTGGTGCCGCTTGTGTAATTTACACCTCCGGAAGCACAGGCACCCCCAAGGGCGTCGTGATGGAGCATGGCGCTCTTGCTACGGGCATGAAGACACTTGGCGAATCCTATGGTATTAAAAGCAATACCCGCGTCTTCCAGTTCGCCGCCTACGTTTTCGATGTGCATCTCCAAGATATATTCGCCACGTTATGTGCAGGCGGCTGTCTCTGCATCGCCTCGGAAAGTCAACTGACGGACAGTTTAACCTATGCCATTCGTGATGCGCACGTAGATATCATTCACTTGACGTCTACAGTCGCGGGAATTCTTGATCCGACAGCTCTACCGTCGCTTCGTACGCTGATACTATCTGGTGAACTCATTAAAGGAGACGTCATCACTCGATGGGCGCCGCACGTTAAGATCATCACCGCCTACGGCCCTTCGGAATGTGGCTTGAACACGGCTTTGAACACGAGCGTAATGCACGCGAGAGACGCGACCAATGTTGGTCATGGAATCAAGTCTAAGCTCTACATCGTGAACAGAAATGATCCAGATTCGCTCGCGCCCATCGGATGTGTCGGTGAGATTGTAGCAGAGGGTCCTCTTCTCTCCCGAGAGTACCTGCAAGATCCGGACATGACAAAGGCGAGCTTCATCGAGAACCCTCGCTGGACGACGCAGGCTGGACTCGGACCGGCTATGGGGAGACGACTGTTCCTCACCGGAGACCTCGGGCGCTACAACCGCGATGGTTCGCTCACCTATCTCGGCCGCAAGGATACTCAAGTCAAAATCCACGGACAGCGGGTCGAATTGGGCGAGATTGAGGAAAAGGTGCAGCAGCTTCTACCCCCATTCTTGTCCAGAGACAAAGGAGTGGCTGTCGAAGTGGTTGAGACAGCGTCTCCTCTGCCGGGTCATACATTGACGGTCTTTTTTGAAGCCGAAGCAGCCAATCTAGGTGGCATACTTCGGACAGAGCAGCCAATCTTGCCACTGCTACCTTGGCTGCGTGCTCTGCTATTGGACCTGCAGTCCTCGTTGGGCGAGCAGCTCCCACAGTACATGGTGCCGGCAGCCTATGTGCCCCTTCAGCGATTACCTGTCAACACGTCAGGGAAGCTGGACCGTAGAGGGCTGCGGGAGATAGCTAGGATCTTCACCCAAGACGAGTGGGCACGTTACAGACTGATTGACGACGTCAAGCAGTTGCCCTCAAACGGCATGCAGAAGCAGCTCCAGGCGTTGTGGAGTCGGATACTAGGCGTGGAGGCTTCATCGATAGGCGCTGGAGATAGCTTCCTTGCACTCGGGGGTGACTCTGTTTCTGCGATGCGGTTAGTGGCCGCCTGCGAACAGGAGGGTTTGCTTCTCTCGGTGGCCAACGTGCTCCGGCACCCCAAGCTGCGGGACATGGCCGAGACAATCACTGCCGCGGAGGCCAAAACGGAGCCGGTAGGTACCGGGAGCCGTCTTCCTGCGTCTGGCAACATCGAACCTTTTGCACTGTGGAACGTGCAAGAAGAGGCACGACCGATGCGCCTTGAGGAGCTCGCACTGCAGTGTGATGTGTCCACGGACCAGATCGAAGACGTTTACCCGTGCACACCGCTCCAGGAAGGGCTGCTGGCCATTACGGCATACCAGACGGGTTCTTACACGAACAGGCTCGTGTATGACCTTCCTAGCACCGTCGATATTAAACGCTTCATGCGCGTGTGGCAGCGTATGGCACGCTCGCATCCAATCTTGCGCACACGCATTGTTCCCAGTGGCGGCGGTGGCGACCATTCGTCCTTGTCGACAGGGGCCGTTCAGGTGGTGGTCGACGATGACTTGGAATGGACTCGCTCGACTGGCAAGGGCACCCTCTCAAACTACTTGGAAGAGGACGAGACCATCGGATTCTCGCCGGGTAGTCCTCTTGCACGCTATGCCCTCGCCCGTGAAACTACGACATCCAGCTGGACGTTCGTGTGGACTGTACACCATGCCATATATGATGGCTGGACGATGAAGCTGTTGCTCGAAGATATGGAGAAGCGATACCAGCAGCAGCAAGCCAACACCACCACTCCGTACAGCCACTTCATCCGTCATTTGGCCAGTGTTGATCAGCGGGCTGCCCACGACTTCTGGTCCGCCCAACTCGGGGGCGAAGGCGAAGGTCCCTCCGATTTTCCTGCGCTGCCGAACGCCAATTATAAGCCTCAGCCCAGCTCGGAGTTGAACCGCGAGATACTGGCTTCTATCGATCAGAAAACGTTGCGATCACTGGGTGTGCCCTTGCCGTCAATCCTGCGCGCCGTATGGGGCTTGGTCCTCGCATCTCATCTCGGCTCAGAGGATGTGCTCTTCGCCATGGTTCTGGCGGGTAGGAGTGCGCCGGTGCAGGGCATGACCGGTATAGTTGGACCTACCATCACGACCGTCCCGATGCGCATGAAGATTAAGAAGAGCACTACTACTCTACGTGACTACCTCGATCAAACGTACCAGCAGGACATTGACATGATTCCATTCGAACATACGGGCCTCCAGAACATCCGCCACATGCTGTCATCAGAAAATGGAGGAAGACGGGCTGAGCCAGCGCATATCTTCATTGTTCAACCTGCTGTAGAGCAGGAACAGCAGCCAGCTGGAGCACTGCTTACACTACGCAGGCAGCATCAACAGCAGCAATCAGGCTCGGCGACGAACGCAAACGCCCCTGCTTTTGGATCGCATGCCCTTGTGATAGAGTGCAATATGACGGGAAAAAATGGCGTCTCATGCCATGCTCTCTTTGACGAGGCTGTGCTTCCCCATCGCGAGGTAGAGATGCTGCTCCAACGGTACGAGTCAGCGTTGACACGGGTCACGGATGCCGATGCGGATCACCAGCTCCAGATCAGCCGCCTTACGAGCGCCACTCCCAGCGACCTGGAGCAGATCGTGGCTTGGAATCGCCAACTGGCCGGTGACGATGAGGCTGTCGAGGACTGCATACATCATGTTATCGCGAGACAGGCTGTAGCCCAGCCTGACGTATCTGCGGTGTGTGCTTGGGACGGCGATTTCAGCTATGCTGAGCTTGACCGACTGGCTACTTCTCTGGTGCCTAGATTGCACAGAATAGGCTTCAAACCTGGCGATGAGTCAAAAGCGGCCTTTTGTCTCAACAAGTCCAAATACACGGTTGTGGTGTTGCTCGCTGTGCTTAAAGCCGGAGGCGTGTGCGTGCCTCTCAACCCCAGCTGGCCGGCACAGCAGTATGAGGCTATTCTTGGAGACGTCAAACCAAAGCTCATCCTCTCCAGTCCTCAATACCTTGCCAAGTTGCAGAGTCCCGGCCAAAGCCAGAGCTGCCAAGTCTGGACGGTTGATGAGGCACTGTTCAACCAGGCTACAGCCGCCGACGAGAGTCCCTCAGCGGCTCATTTGTCGATGATCGAGGAGTCCAAACCCGCTCATGTAGCATATATCATTTACACGAGCGGAAGCACGGGCGTGCCGAAGGGCGTTATGCTCGAGCACCGGTCCCTGTGCACAACTGCCGATCAGTGGGGGCCAAAATTTGGCATCCACCCTGGCTCAAGGATCCTTCAATTCGCGGCCTATACTTTCGACAGTAGCGTATTCGAGATGTTCATTACCCTTCAGCGGGGAGGAACCCTCTGTATCCCTTCCGACGAAGAACGTGTCAACAATGTGGCCGCCGCCGTGCAACGTATGCAGGTCAGCACGGCCTTCCTGACAAACACAGTCGCCAGTCTCATACCACCCTCAGAGGTGCCATCGCTGCGAACGCTGACGCTGGTTGGCGAGCTTGCGAGCCTGAGCACTGTGGAATCGTGGTCGAAATCCAAGGACTTCCGCCTCATGAACGGCTACGGGCCTTCTGAGTGTTCAGTCTGCGTCACTGCTAACCAGCGTCTTGAACCACACGCTATTGCGAATGTCGGTTTCGGCTTGATTGGATCACTCTGGATCGTCAGTCCAGACGACCACCACCACTTGCTTCCTATCGGAGCGCAGGGTGAGCTGCTGGTCGAGGGCCCGCTTTTGGCACGAGGATACTTCAATGATAGCCGAAGAACGGACGAGGTGTTCATCAGGTCGCCGGAATGGGCCGAGACGTGTGGCTACTTTCCAGCACAGCATGCTACACGCTTCTACAAGACGGGTGATCTCGTCAAGTACAACGATGATGGGTCCCTCACCTATATCGGGCGTAAAGACAACCAAGTCAAGATTCACGGGCAGCGCGTGGAGCTGGGCGACATAGAGACAAGAATACGGCGCGTTTTGCCAAAGGCGCTGCCTGGCGCTGGCGATGTGGCCGTAGTAATGGCTGCGCAGGACTCTGAATCGACATCTGGATCGATATCGGGATCAAGTCCTACAACTCGACGCGTGCATGCCTTCATTTCTATGTCTGGCGAACGGGATGCAAGCACGCCCAATGCGAAAGATTGGGCAGAGTCAGCTCTATTGCCCATGTCTACCAAAGTCGTGGCCCAGTTTGCCAACCTCCAGCATGAGCTGATCGAGGACCTTCCTCAGTACATGATGCCATCTCTATTTGTGCCAGTACGGTCGCTTCCTAAGAACGCATCACTCAAAATAGACAGGAAGCAGCTTGTACCTCTGGCCAGCAAATTCACAGTGGACCAGGTGGCCATGTACAGTCTTGCAAACACGATCAAGAGAGCGCCCTCGACTCGTACGGAGACGCTCCTGCGCCAGCTCTGGTCGCAGGTTCTCGATAGAGATCCTGAGACCATCTACATAGACGACAACTTTTTCCAGTCGGGCGGCGACTCAGTGTCGGCCATGCGCCTTGCTTCAACCTGTCAGCGCGGGGACCCAGACATGGCTTTGACCGTCGCCGACATCTTCCAACACCCTAGGCTTAGCAAGCTGGCCAAAGCAATAGATGAGCGGCAGGGTGTCATGAGTGCTACGACCGAAGACGATCAGAACGATGATGAGCCAATTGTTCCCTTCAGCCTTTGGGAGGCATACGCGGACCCACAAGACAGGAACGGCCAGATGGACCTTATAGCCCAACAGTGCGGCATTGCTCGAGACGACATCGAGGACATTTACCCCTGCACTCCTTTACAAGAAGGTCTCATGGCCATCACCGCCCGTCAGAACAGCGCCTACGTCGGCAGAGGCTCCTACCGTCTACCGGCTCACATAGACAGGGCCAAGTTCGCTGACGCGTGGGAGCGTGCAATCGCCTTCCACCCGATTCTCAGGACTCGCATCGTCTTGTCAAATGTCGCATCGCAATTCTCCAGGCCCATGCAAATTGTTGCTCGCGAGGGATGCAGTGGCGGTGGTACGAGCGGTTACTTGGACTGCCGCACGATGTCCGAGTACGAGGAGCTGGATCGATCGGACCGGATGCTCTACAATAGGCCACTCTTCCGATGTGCCATTGTCGTTGACGACAAAGACCAGGACCAATATACCTTCGTCTGGACTGCTCACCATGCCATCTATGACGGCTGGAGCTTCCAATTGTTGTTCCAGCAGATTGAGGATGTCTTCTATCACGGCTCAAAGCCCGCACAGCCATCGCCGTATAATCAGTTTATTAAGTATCTTAACGGGAATAGCCATGAGGAGACGGCCAGGTTTTGGCAGGCGCAGCTTGAAGGTACGCTGCCTGAGAGCTTGCCTGCCGATCTTCCTGTACGGTACCAGGCAAGACCGAACACGCGCCTCGTGCGACAAGCCCAATTGAATGCATCATCAACCGTTTCGCTCGCTACAGTCCTTCGAGCGGCTTGGGCTATTACCTTGGCCAACTTCAGCAACTCAGAAGATGTGTTGTTTGCCGAGGCCTTATCAGGCCGAAATGCCCCAGTCCGTGGAATTACAGAGTTAGTTGCCCCGACCATTACGACGGTGCCGGTGCGAGTGCGCGCCAGTTCCGAGCAGAGACTCAGTGATCTCCTCAATGCGATCAATCAGCAAACTATTGACATGATGCCCTTCGAACATACTGGACTACTCGCGATCCAAGAGATGACAGCCAAAAAGCTGCAACTGAACCATCTCTTCCTCATTCAGCCACGAGCCCAGCCACACTCTGGCGGCAGTCAAGATGAGATGGCCACGCAGCAAAGGGATTTCGACTCGTTCCCGCTGCTGGTGGAATGTGGTGTCCACGACGAAGGCGCTAATGTCGAGGCCCGCTTCGATGAGAAAGTCGTGTCCAGTGCGTACGTTGCCCGACTCATCGACAATTTTTGCCACATTGCTGCACGCATCAGTGCCAGTACCTCAAACACCAATGGAGCGGATGTCACTGTCGGAAGTGTCAGTGAACCCAGCCCAAGAGACACCCAACAGATTCTCGAATGGAACTCCAACGACTACATGAGCATGGTGCCATCTTACAAGACCGTCCATGTTATGGTCTCCGCATCAGCCAGCAAGTACCCCGACCTGGTGGCCGTTGACTCATGGGATGGCAGTTTCAGTTACAGGGAACTGGACCTAGTGACGTCGAAGCTTGCGGGTTACCTCGTCAGCGAGTTTGGAGTCAAGATCGAGGATAAGATCGGCCTATATTTTGACAAGTCGAAGTGGGCGGTGGTTTCGATGATTTCAGTGCTCAAAGCTGGAGGCGCTTTTGTGCATTTGAGCCCTAAGCATCCGACGGCTCGAACTACGGCTATACTGCGCGGCAGCGGTATCGACCTTGTTCTCACCTGCAAAGCATACAGACCAAAGTTGTTGGAACACGAACTTGCGGAACACGTTCTTGTGGTTAATGAATCCACTATTACTGGAATCGGAACCTACCCTGAGTCCCTTCTGGATATCAAAGTTCAGTCCGGTAACGTGGCCTCCGTCATCTACACATCCGGCAGTACAGGCATCCCGAAAGGCGTCGTGCTTGATCATCGAGCTCTAATGCTGGCTATTGACGTCCAAGGCCCGGCATTTGGCATCCAGCACGGCACACGCGTCTTCCAGTTCGCGTCGTATCTCTTCGATGTCAGCTTCCAAGACGTCTTCATCCCGCTTAGTGTCGGTGGAACCATCTGTATTGCGTCTGAAGACCAGCTGATGAACGATCTCGCGGGGTCCATCCGCAGAACCAACGCCGACTTCATCAACGTCACGCCCACGGTCGCTGCGCTTCTACGGCCGAATAGCGTCCCTAGAATCAACAAGCTTGCTCTGGCCGGTGAGGCTGTAACTCCGGACCTCGTTGAAACATGGGCGCCCTTTGCGCGTGTCATGAATGCCTACGGACCCGTCGAGTGCGGAATGAACACCTCTTTCAACCCATCCATGCAAATGCCGCGTCGCACGCAAGCTGCCAACATTGGCAACGGTATTGCCACAACATTGTGGCTCAACAAGCCAGGCGACACCGATGTCTTGGTACCCATTGGCTGTATCGGTGAGATTCTCGCCGAGGGCCCACTGCTGTCCAGAGGATATCTCAATGATGAAGTGCGGACCAACAGTGCCTTCATAAATGACCCGGCTTGGGTGGCCAAGTATGGCCTGAGCTCCGGCAGACGACTTTACAAGACTGGTGACTTGGCGCGCTACGAGGAGGATGGGACGCTGGTCTACCTTGGCCGTAAAGACACCCAGGTTAAGATCAACGGACAACGCGTTGAAATTGGCGAGATTGAGCAGCACGTCAAGGACCTTTTGATGCCAGAAACCATATCCGCCTCAACCTCCGAGCAAACTACTGGCGCTACTGCCGCTGTAGAACTCGTTCAAGTCTCAGACTCTGTATCTGAGGTTTCCAGGCGAGTACTTGCGGCATTCATTCAAACATCGCAGAAACCCTCGGATACCGAGAGCAGCGGATATCCGGCTGACAACGAATGTGTTCTCCTGCCTCTTTCAAAGCCGCTTCACTCGCGGTTCCGTGCACTCCAGGACTCGCTTGGTAACGTCCTCCCGCAACACATGATCCCCTCAATCTACCTACCAGTCTCATATATATCCACCAACACATCTGGTAAACTCGACCGTGTCCGGCTGCGAAATCTCGCCAAGAGTCTCTCCGAGGCCCAAATTTCAATGTACAGCTTGTTTGGCGTGGCCAAGGTACCGCCGGCCTCTCCGATAGAGAGACGGATGCAACGCCTCTGGAGCCGGGTCATGACGGTGGAAGAAAGTGCGATTGGAGCGACCGATAATTTCTTCCAGCTTGGTGGTGACTCTGTTTCGGCTATGAGGCTTGTGGCAGCCTGCCAGGAGGAGGGACTGGCATTGACTGTGAGCGATATCTTTGAGCGGCCCCAGCTTCGAGATGTGGCCAGGTCGGTAACAATCATTGACGAGTCTGATCACCATAATGACGAGGAGAATGATCCGCTGTTCAGTCTATGTCCATGGCAAGAGAGCACGGAGACTCCCGCCGAAGCTACCAAAATGATCGCTTCACTTTGCGGTGTGTCGCCAGATCGGATTCAAGACATCTACCCTTGCACTCCCCTACAAGAAGGACTGATGGCCATCACGATGAGGAAGGCGGGGGCTTACACCAATAGGATGGTCTATAAGCTGCCCGAGTCCATCGATCTGGACCGTTTCATTGCGGCGTGGGGCCAAGTAGCTACTGCTCACCCGATCCTTAGGACAAGGATCGTCGTTGATACAATGGCCACTGGTGGTGCGGATACAAAGCTATACCAAGCCGTAATTGACAAGCCGATCGACTGGCAAAAGCCAAGTAGCATCACGGAGTATGTTTCTGCCGACGAAAGTCACCCGTTCTCTTACGGCGATCCTCTTTCGCGATTTGCTCTCGTTTCGGAAGGCAAGGGCGGCTCCAATCACTTTGTGTGGACAGTTCACCATGCTGCATACGATGGCTGGACACTCAAGTTGGTCCTGGATGACCTCGCAAGTGCGTACCACGGAAGCGAGCCAAGCAGGGCGGTGCCGTTCAAACGATTCATCCGCCACCTGATTACGAACAGCGAGACCACAGCCACCGACTCTTTCTGGACGTCGCAGCTCAAGGGACAAACGCCTTCAAGTTTCCCCCGCTTGCCATCGGCCACCTACCAACCACGGGCTCGGCAGCAGCTTTGTCACCATCTGTGGAGCTTTGACACCAAGGGGCTCATGGAGCTTGCCACACCCCTACCGACCATTTTGCGCGCTGTCTGGGGATTGGTTGTGGCCGCGCATACCGGCTTCGAAGACATCATCTTCGCGGAGACGCTTTCGGGACGTAACGCACCTGTGAATGGCATCGATAAGATCGCTGCTCCGCTGATGACGACTGTGCCAGTGCGTATGAGCCTAGACACCCAGCAGACCATGAGGTCATATCTTGCTGCCATCTACCAGCAGGACGTGGCGTTTATTCAATTCCAGCACACCGGCCTGCAGAACATCCAGGAGATCATGCGGAGACATGACATGATGGACCGACTGGACATGAATCACTTGTTTGTCATCCAGCCCGAGGTTCAGCTCGACCAAGAGGAGCAATCGCTCGGCATGGAGGCACAGAAGGCGCCCGCACTGGTTGACTTTGGATCTTACGCTCTGGTCATTGAGTGTAATACCAGGGCCAATTCAGAGATCGCCGTGAACTTCACCTATGATGATGCCGTGTTGAGTTCAACCGAGATCAACACTCTCTTCGAACGATTCCAGTTCCTCCTTTCCTCCATCTTGGCCGCGGTCCACGAAGAGACAAAGATCAGCCACTTGCTGGCCGCAACACCAACCGACGTGCGTCGTATTCTGTCTTGGACCAACGCACTGCCTACCACAGAGCCTATAAACTCCTGCATCCATCATATTTTCCGGGATCAGGCACTTCTTCGTCCAGAAGCTGTCGCACTACGCTCTTGGGACGGTGATCTGACTTACAAGCAACTCGACCAGTTCTCGACGACGCTAGCGTTTGATCTCCAGGAAATGGGCGTCGAGCCTGAGGTGAACGTTCCTCTGCACTTTGAGAAGTCAACATGGGCAATTGTGGCGCAACTGGCCGTGCTTAAAGCGGGCGGTACATGTGTCCCGCTGAACCCGGCATGGCCAAAGGCCCGCAACGACGCCATCATCACGCAGACCAGGGCTTCAGTCATTCTCGTCTACTCGGACATGGATGACGACACAGCGTTCTCTGAAAGCGATCAATTTGTTACCATCACCGTAGGAGAAGCATTATTCGAGCAAAGACAAGAGCGCAAGACGACTCGAGAGGACCGGACCATGATATCACAAGCCAGGTCTAATAACGCCGCTTTTATTATCTACACTTCTGGCACTACGGGAACTGCTAAGGGCGTTATCTTGGAGCACAAGTCATTGGTTACCACTGCGGCAGCTCACGGCGCAGCCTACGGTATCGGTCCGACCACTCGAGTTGGACAGTTTGCCGCCTACACCTTCGACGCCAGTGTCTCTGAGATCTTTACCACGCTCCAACGCGGTGGCACCGTGTGCACCATGTCAGAGCACGACAGGGCCAATAACTTATCGGCCGCTCTGCGTGATATGCGAGTCAATTTCCTTGCTGTCACGGACACGGTCGCGAAACTCCTCGACCCCGCGAACCTACCTTTCGTACAGACGCTGATCTTGGTGGGCGAGAGACCAAGCGATGCTGTTGTGACACGATGGCAGCAGCATTGTGGTACCCTTATGAACGGCTATGGGCCCACGGAATGTTCGATTGCTGCCACTTGTAACCCCAAGCTTGCCGTAGGACAGACGAACAATATTGGGCGTGTTTTGAGCGGAGCCATTTGGCTGGTCAATCCCCAGGACCACAACTTGCTACAGCCGACCGGGAGCATCGGCGAAATCTTGATTGAAGGTCCCCTGGTAGCAAGAGGCTACCTCGACGATGACCTCAAGACTGCTGCGGCTTTCATTGAGGACCCCGACTGGGTCCGATTGCACAATCTGCCGACCGGCAAGCGGTTGTATAAAACAGGTGACCTCGCACGTTACGATACGGATGGATCCCTCATCTATCTCGGTCGTAAGGACAACCAGGTCAAGATACGTGGGCAGAGAGTGGAACTCAGCGAGATCGAGCAGTGTCTTACTAAGGTTCTTCCACAAAGCCGGGTCGCGTCGAGCGGTGTGGCCGTCGAGCTTGCCACAGTCTCGGATCGGCCCGTGCTTGCGGCCTTCATGGCTGAACTTGTTGAAGCGAGGCCTTACGAGGGAGGACGCGAAGGAGACGATGCAGAACACCAAAAGGACCATGAGAACGGTCTCGTCTTACCGCTATCTGGTTGCATCCGGGATCGTCTGCTAGACGTGCAGTCATCCTTGGGAGATGTGCTGCCCCGGTACATGATTCCCTCGGTATTCATTCCAGTCCGCACGCTGCCTAGTAACGTTTCAGGAAAGCTGGATCGGACAGCGCTTCGCCATGCCCTTTCACGTCTATCGGCAGAGGAACTTGTATCGTACAGCCTCGTCGGCGCGACAAAGCAGGCACCTTCCACGGACCTGGAGAGGCAACTACAGGGCCTCTGGGCTCGAGTATTGAGCATATCCCGCGATCAGATCGGCGCCAGCGACAGCTTCTTCCAAGTAGGTGGAGATTCTGTATCGGCTATGCGCTTGGTAGCCATGTGTCGTGAGGAGCAACTAGCCATCAGCGTTGCAGACATCTTCAAGTATCCGAAGCTCCGGGATGTCGCAGCACGAATGCATAGCATGAGTATCAGCACAAGCGACGAGAAGGATATTGAGCCATTTACATTGTGGCCAATCGACGGGTCTGAGGCGCGCGCGGATCAGCTGGAAGAAGTAGCTCGGCAGTGTGGCCTCTCAGCAAACCATATCGAAGATGTGTATCCGTGTACGCCGCTTCAAGAGGGTCTCTTGGCCATCACCATGCGACAAAACAAGGCATATGTGGGACATGGGTCTATGATACTTGCAGAGACCGTCGATGAGGATCAATTGCTCGATGCCTGGCATAGTGCTGTGAAAGCGCACCCCATCCTGAGGACGCGCATCGTCCCAGTGACGACACACAATGCCAGGTCTCTGCAAGTTGTCGTCAAGAGCGAGGCAGAAACAGAAAACATTCAGTCCTCACCTTGCCGTAGTGAAGAAGACTTCAGATACATGGTGGAGCGAGAAGCCATGTCATACGGCAAGCCGCTTTTCCGCTTCGCTGTCATCGGGCAGACATTCATGTGGGCGGCCCATCACGCTGTATACGACGGGTGGACTTTCCAATTACTGTTCAAACAGGTCGACGAGGTCTTCTCCCGAGGACTCGCTCCCAAGCAGAAGCCGGTACCTTATAAGCGTTACATCGACTTCCTGTCGCGCACCAATCCGGAGGTTGAAGCTGCCTACTGGCGATCGCAGCTCGGCCAGGGCGATCCTGTGAGCTTCCCGTCGAACGTAACATCTTCGTACCAACCACACTCGAACAGCGACCTGCAGAAGAGATTCACTGCCGCCATGTCGCCGACCCACAACGTCTCGCTAGCTACTGTCCTTCGCGCCAGTTGGGCCATGGCCGTCGCCCGGTTCTCGGGCACCGACGACGTTCTCTTCGCTGAGGCGCTGTCGGGTCGGGACGCACCCGTTTCAGGCATCATAGAGATGCTTGGACCAACTATTACCACGGTGCCGATGAGGCTACAAGTCCGGCGCAACCAGCCCATCATGGACTACCTTGAGTCTGTGCATGAGAAGATGATCGAGATGATGCCGTTCCAGCACTCTGGCTTGCAGGCGATTCAGGCGGCAATCAGGCCACGACAACTTCAGCCAAATCACCTGTTTGTCATGCAGCCACTGCAACAACAGAATCAGGCTCAACTACCGTCGTCAGCCACATCCGACCTGCAGGCAATGCCGGTCTCGCAGCATGACTTCCACTCCTACCCACTTGTTGTGGAATGCAGCATTGATGGATCGGAGGTGTTTGTAGATGTCAATTACGATGCCACCATCTTATCTCATCACATCGTGGACCACCTCACCGACCAATTTGCGTATATCACCACTCAGCTCGCAGCCCTCAGTCAGACGGAAGCCTCTCAAGAGCAACTTGATGTCGCCCAGTTCAGTGCCGCTAGCCCTCGAGACGTAGAGCAGATGGTGCACTGGAATTCTAACATCCAGCTGCCATCACCTGAACAAACACTATACCACATCGTCGAAGCGCAGATACACAAGACGCCAGACCTGCTCGCTATTGACGCGTGGGACGGCCAGCTCACGTATGCAGAGGTGCATGACTTGACGGCAAGACTAGCGACTCATCTCATTGCCCTCGGTGTGCAAAGGGAGGATCCGATAGCCCTTTACTTCGATAAGTCGAAATGGGCCCTCATCGCCATGATCGCGGTTCTGAGAGCCGGGGCTGCGTTCGTACAGCTTAGTCCGAAGCATCCAATCGGCCGGTCCAAGACGATTCTGCAAAGTAGTCGAGCTCGTATCGTGCTTGTCGCAGCCCAGTACGAAGCCAAATTCCGAGGTGCCATCGATCTCCATCCCTACAAGGACGCGGTCGTCGTCCCAATTGACCAAGAATTGTTTGCGACACTTTCTCAGTCAGATCACGTCGCGCTCCGCGCCGTGACCGCACAGCCGAGCGACGCAGCTGTGATTATGTACACAAGCGGCAGTACCGGTGTTCCCAAAGGATTTGTGCTCCAACACGGAGCACTATCCGCAGCTGTGGCGGCTATGGCTACGGCACTCGATATCAAACAAGAAACCAGGGTCTTCCAGTTCACTTCGTACGTATTTGATGTTCACCTACAAGATGTCTTCTGTACCTTGTCACGCGGTGGCTGCGTTTGTATTGCATCAGAGGCTCAATTGATGAACGAACTCGGGAGGACGCTGGCGTCTGCCCGGGCTGACTTGGTGCAGCTGACTCCCACTGTTGCGGGACTAGTTGAACCCGAATCTGTGCCCGATTTGAAGACTCTCGTCCTCACTGGCGAGCTGGCCACCCGTGAGACAATTGCGCACTGGATGGGACAACTCCAGCTTATGAACGCCTATGGCCCAGCCGAGGCCGGTCTTAACACTTCACTCAATCGATCAATTGCACACGAGTCGGAGGGCTCCAACATTGGTCGAGGCGTTGCTACAAGGCTTTGGCTCGTGGATTCGGACAACATCAATCTCTTGAGCCCAATTGGCTGCATCGGTGAGCTGCTGGCAGAGGGTCCGTTGCTTGCTAAAGAGTATCTTGGCGACGAACATTTGACCTCTACAAGCTTTGTCACTGACCCAACCTGGGTCAAGACATACGGGCTGCCCAGTGGGAAACGTATGTACAAAACGGGCGATCTCGCTAAAATCAACGCAGACGGCACATTCACGTATCTGGGGCGTAAGGATACACAAGTCAAGATCAATGGTCAACGCATTGAGCTTGGAGAGATTGAGCGTCAGCTGCAAGCCGACTTGCAGACGCTTCTTCCCAGTTGTGGTGGTGTGGCAGTGGAGCTTGCGACTACCCGGGACGACGACGACAACAATAACAACAAGCAGACTCTTGCGGCTTTCATCGTTATCAGCGGAGAAAAGGCCGTCGCAACGAAAGGAAAGGAAGACGAAGAGACTATTCCCCTGTCTGTGAACCACTCAATGCGTTCCGCTTTGTCAGATCTGCCATTCATGCTGAGGGACCACCTGCCACATTATATGATCCCTTCAATGTACATCCCCATCACCAATTTGCCCAAGAATACCAACGGCAAGCTGGACAGAAAGCGCTTGAGGGAGATTGCCAATCACCTGGATGCACACGACTTCTCTCTGGAGAGTCCCGTCAACGGTCCCAGACTACAGCCATCAACAGAAATGGAGCTACAACTGCGAGACATGTGGTGCCAGGTACTAGGTGTACAGCCTGACTCCGTTGGGACCAACGATAGCTTCTTCCAGATGGGGGGTGACTCTGTCGCCGCGATGCGTCTCGTCGCTGCGTGCGAGAAACAAGGTCTTTGCCTGACTGTGGCAGACATATTCGATCGTCCGCGACTTCGCGACCTTGCCACTGCCGCTCGAGCACCTAATGATCTTTCCGCAAGTCACGCTCAGCACCAGAAGCCTCTGGAGCCTTTCAGCCTGTGGGATAAGCATACTGTGCACAATCACCAGCAACATCTTGCCTCCATTGCCAGCCAGTGCGGAGTAGAGCCTTCTCAGATTGAGGACATCTACAATTGTACGCCACTTCAAGTCGGCCTGATGGCCATCACGATCAGGCAGCCACAGGCTTACACCAACCGCATCATTTACGACATTCCGGATTCTGTGCCCACAGAGAAATTTATGGCAGCCTGGTCATTGAACTATCAACGCCACGCCATCTTGCGCACTAGGATCGTTCCCGATGTCGACCGGGAGTCAAACTTCGTCCAAGTTGTGGTTCGAGAGAAGCTAGAATGGCAGCATAGCATGGACCTCAACGACTACATCAAGCATGACCAAGCCCAAGGTTTTACTCATGGTTCACAGCTCGCTCGCTTCTGCACTGTCAGTGGCCTGGAAGGCGAGCCAAGGAAGTTTGTGTGGACCATCCATCACTCAATCTACGATGGGTGGACGCTCAAGCTCATCCTCGAAGACCTTGGTCAACTCTACGAAGGCCACACGCTTCCTCCTTGCGTTCCTTTCAATGGATTCGTGCACTATCTACGCAATGTAGACAACACAGCCGCCGCGGCATTCTGGCATTCTGAACTCGACGGCGAGCTGCCTACGAGCTACCCAGAATTACCTGCGCCGAACTTCCAGTCCCGTCCGGACAGCTCCGTTGCTCGGGACGTAACCTTACCCCATGGGGCCAGCCATCAGTCTATTCCTAACATCCTGCAAGCTGCATGGCCATTGGCGTTGTCGATGCACACAACGACCGACGATGTCATGTATGCCATGACGCTCTCCGGTCGGAACGCGCCCGTCCCGCGCATTGCAGAGATGGCCGCCCCGACTATTACAACAGTACCCGTCAGGAGACGGATTAACTCGTCCACTACGATCTCACAATACCTCTCGGCAACACATCGCAAGTCCATCGACATGATGCCATTTGAACACACGGGTCTCCAGAACATCGACAAGTCCCTCGCACTGAACACCCTTTTTGTTATCCAGCCAACCATTCGTGTTGAGCATGACGAGGAGAAGCAGGAGCGCGATGACCCTATGGTTTCATTGGATCCAAACGCAGCGCCGCTACAAGGCTTTGACTCGTATGGCTTGGTGGTGGAGTGTAGTCTCAGCCAACAAGGAGCTCGCATCGAAGCCAGGTACGACAAGCAAGTCATCGCCGAGGAACAGATACAGCAGCTCATTAGTCAATTCCAGAGACTGATTCTTCTGCTACTGACTGAACCTCCCACGACCCGGCTTGTTGACCTTCCCATGGCATCCGAGGAGGATGTGCAGCAGATATTGGCTTGGAACAGCGAGGATGGCACTACCCTGGAGCCAGTAAACGACTGTCTCGATCATGCGATCAGACGACAAGCCCTACAACAGCCGTTGGCTCAGGCCGTCTGCGCGTGGGATGGTAACTTGTCCTATCAAGAGCTTGAATGGCTTGCTACGAAACTGTCCGGTCTTCTTAAGAGTCTCGGCATCAAGCCTGAGGATAAGGTTCCTGTGTACTTTGACAAATCGCTTTGGGCTATTGTCGCGATGCTAGCTATACTTAAGATTGGGGGCATATACGTCCCGCTCAACCCGGCACATCCACTACAACACATTGAGGTCATCATCGAAGCAGTGGCCGCCTCGGTGGTCCTGACTACAAAAGACAATGCGCACAAATTCAAGGACTCGATTCCTGTGGACTCGGAGCTTCTTGAGTCGCTGTCTCTGCCAACCGCTGAGGATCAGGATGGGACTACGGTCACACACAACTCCGACAATGCAGCTGTGATTGTATTCACGTCAGGAACCACTGGAACACCGAAAGGTGTCGTCCTGACCCACTCGTCACTAAGCACTATGATGCGTGCTCAAGGTCCATCAATGGGCTTTTCCTCAAACACACGAGCCCTTGCCTTTGCAGCCCCTAGCTTCGATGTCAGCAACAGTGAAGTTTTTACGACCCTCTATCACGGTGGATGCGTGTGCATTCCTTCTGAGCACGATCGACTCAACGACTTGGCTGGGGCAGTAGCTAGGCTTCATGCCAATTGGTTATTCCTGACCCCAAGTCTAGCTTCGCAAATCGACCCAGCCTCTGTTCCTGGGTTGCAATTCCTAGCCCTTGGTGGCGAAGCCATTACTCAGAGCCTCGTGGACACCTGGGCAAGCAGACTTCACCTACTCAATAGTTATGGCCCTTCCGAGGCAAGCATCTGGACGTCCATGGCACTCCTGGGCAAGGAGCCGGGTGTTCTCCCAACCAATATCGGTAGAGGCCTTGGCTGCAAGCTCTGGGTGGTTGATCCGTCCAACTACAATAGGCTATCGCGCATCGGCTCTACCGGAGAGCTGCTCATTGAGGGCCCGATTCTGGCTCGAGAATACCTCGACGATCCCAACCGCACAGATGAAGCCTTCGTTTTGAACCCTTCCTGGACCAGGCTCGACGTTCAAGGGCAAAATCATCGTGATCAGCAAGCCGCCGACCGCCGTCTCTACAAAACGGGCGATCTCGTCGCATACTCGACAGACGGATCTCTAATTTACATGGGTCGCAAGGACACACAGATCAAGGTGCGTGGCCAGCGCGTGGAGATCGGCCAAATTGAATACCACCTGCAGCGACTCTTGCAGCAATCTCAAACGGCCAAAGTGGCCGTAGATCTCGTCTTCTCCAAGCACCAGCCGTCTCGCAAGACTCTGGGCGCCTACATTGAGGTGGTAAACGATGAGTGTTCGTCATCAGCCGATTCATTCAACATCGACGGGGTGATGATCCCCTCGGAAGGCTTCCAAAAAGAGATGCATCAGCTCCAGACCGCACTTTTGGATGCACTCCCGCATTACATGGTCCCCACCGTTTTCATCCCAATGGAACGTCTCCCTATGACCGCATCAGGCAAACTGGATCGTCGAGTCTTGAGTAAACTGCTATCGGATCTCAGCGACAAGGATCTCACGCCCTTCCGCTTGGCTTCGATTGCCAAGACTGCTCCTCAATCCGGAATCCAATTCAGGATGCGCAGCCTGTGGGCTGAAGTCTTGCAAATCAGCGACGAAGACTCCATCGGGGCCGACGATTCGTTCTTCCAACTGGGCGGCGATTCTCTCAGCGCTATTTTCCTCGTATCGCTTGCTTCTAAGGCTGGCCTGACTTTCACCGTGGCTGATTTGTTCCGGTGCCCGAAGCTTTGCGACATTGCGGCTATTAGTCAGATGCAACAAGTTTTACCACCTTCTGAGGGACCATCGAAGATCCCGCCTTTCTCTCTATGGGAACATGGATTTGAAGATCTGCCAACCGCGATCGAGACAGTCGCCGATCAGTGTCATGTAACCGCTGATGATATTCAGGATGTGTACCCATGTGCTCCCCTGCAGGAAGGATTGGTCGAATTGTCCCTCCTCAACCCTGGTACATACATCAGTCGCAACGTCTTCAATCTTGATGAATCAGTTAACATTGAAACTTTCAAATCCGCCTGGGCCCAGGTTGTTCGGACTCATCCTATCATGAGAACTCGCATCACTCGACTCAGGGAGCTCAAGTCTGTGCAGGTTGTGACATATAACCAGCTGTCATGGAGCAAGGCGACATCTCTTCAAGGGTACATGGAAGCAGACTACGATGCTCCAATGCTACACGGGGATCCCCTGGTGCGTTTTGGATTCGTCGAGGGTGAACAAGGTGAACGTTTCTTCATATGGACCCTACACCACGCCGTGTATGACGGCTGGTCTCTGAAGCTACTGTTTGAGAGCTTCCTCAGATCATACAATGGCCAAGTAGGCACTCTCGAACCAGTGCCTTTCAACTCCTTCATCAAGTACGTCCAGCAGACCAATCAGCAAGGAGCTCTTGACTTTTGGAACGAGCAGCTTGATGGAGACCTACCACTCGGCTTCCCTGCCCTGCCCTCTGCCACCTATCAGCCACGCCCCAACAAGGAGGAGACACTCTCACTGACCCTTCCATCAACCCACGCAATCAACCACCTACACTCGGCCGCTACAATCTTGCGTGCCGCATGGGCCTTGGCTCTAACCAATGTCACATCATCAGACGATGTCATATTCGCCATGACTCTTTCCGGTAGGAACGCCCCTGTTGCCAATGTAGTAGACATGGCTGCACCAACCATTACAACCGTTCCCATTCGCTCCCGCATAGATGCCAATCAGTCAATCGAGCAATATCTTGAGCAGACCAAGCAGCAAGCAGTTGAGATGATGCCCTACGAGCATACTGGTCTGCAAAACATCCGAGACGCAGAGACGGGCAACCGTATCCCTCTGGACTTGAAGCATTTATTCGTTGTGCAGCCAGCTTCTGCGTCTGTCACGACCGAAGGCGATGCGACAATCATGCGTCCACTGCGCACAGAAGATGGTGAAGAGGATATCCAACTCGGCTTTGACTCGTACGCACTGGTCGTGGAGTGCCATGTCGAGGGTGAGGGCGACGGCGCTGTTCATGTCTCGGCACGGTTTGACGACAATGTGGTCGATCACTCTCAAATCAGACAACTACTTGTGCTTTTCGGCCACTTGGCTACCCTTCTATCAACGACGACGAAAACCTTGACCCGCCTTTGTGACCTGACGATAGCGCCACCAGAGGACTTGGAGCAGATTATGCAATGGAACGATGTCCATGCCCTCCGCCCCTCGAGCCATTGTCTCCACGCCGTAGTGGCACAATGGGCGAAGAGCCAGCCAGACAAGCAAGCTATCTGTTCTTGGGACGCCGAGCTGTCGTACCGCGAGCTGGATTTGTTGTCTTCCCAGTTGGCTCATCATCTAGTGGACGACCTAGGTCTCGCACCAGAGGTCATCGTCCCCCTCTATTTCGACAAATCAACGTGGGCTATCGTGTCAATGCTGGCAGTGTTGAAGGCGGGCGCCGCGTACGTGCCACTCAATACTGCATTCCCAATTGAGCACAACCAGTCTATCGTTAATGCGGTCGACGCCAAGGCTGTTCTGACGAGCAGCGATCACTTGTCTCTGTTCGACAATGGCATCCTCATCGATCGATCATTCATTGAGTCTCTTCCCTCTGTTGGAAGCCGTCATCTCTCATCGTCGGATCCTTCCAGCGCCGCCATCGTCGTCTTCACTTCAGGAACCACAGGCAAGCCTAAGGGCATCGTCCTGACCCACTCATCGCTATCTTCTATGATGCGGGCACAGGGACCTCTGATGGGCTTCGATACATCTACACGCACACTACACTTTGCAGCCGCAAGCTTTGACGTAAGTAATAGTGAAGTACTTACTACTCTATTTCACGGTGGTTGTATCTGCGTCCCTTCGGAGTATGACCGTTTGAACCGGCTTTCCGAGGTCATGAGCGAGTACAATGTCAACTGGCTATTCCTTACGCCTAGTCTCGCGAACCAGCTCGAACCGGAAGCTTTCCCTAGTCTCCGACACCTCGCACTTGGCGGTGAGGCCGTCACCCGAGACCATGTCGTGCAATGGGCACCGAGAGTTCGTTTATTGAATAGCTATGGCCCTTCAGAAGCGAGCATCTGGACTTCGATGTCTCATCTCCGTTCTGATACTACGACTGTTGATATCGGCAGAGGCTTGGGGTGTGTTTTGTGGATCGTGGATGCGGCCAACCACGACCGTTTGATGCCAATCGGAATGATTGGCGAGCTCGTCATCGAGGGTCCAATCCTAGCGCGGGGGTACCTCAACGATGCTGAGAAAACACGGGAGTCCTTTATCCAAGACCCGCTGTGGTCGACTGCAGTCGGTCACGATCGACGGATGTACAAGACGGGAGATCTGGTCCGCTATGCAGCCGATGGATCGGGCACTCTCCTATACGTCGGCCGTAAGGATACACAGGTCAAGATCCGTGGACAGCGCGTCGAGGTCAGCCAGGTCGAGCACCACCTCCAGTCTCTTGTTCCCAGCAGTCTGGGCGTGGCTGTCGAGATGGTGACCAGCAACACCACGGCACGCGGTCACACTTCAAGGCAGGCTCTCGCTGCATTTGTGGCGATAGAAGGCGGAGACAGCGACAAAGTCCTCAGCCAAGTTACGACAACGTTCCAAACCAACATGTTCAAGGTGCAGACTGCATTGGCCTCACTGCTTCCGCCTTACATGATCCCGACCGTCTTTGTGCCATTGAGCAAGTTGCCATTGAGCAGGTCCGGCAAAGTGGACCGAGTGTACCTTCGACGCATGCTACACGGTCTAAGTGAAGAGGAGATGGCGCCGTACCGTCTTGCATCTGCCTATAAGAGGGATCCCGCTACGGATCTTGAGTCACAGATGCAGTCCCTCTGGGCAGATATGCTCGGAGTCGCAGTTGAGTCTATCGGGCTAGACGATAATTTCTTCATGCTAGGAGGCGATTCCATCAGTGCTATTAAACTCGTCTCCACAGCTCAGAGAGTCGGTCTACACTTCTCCGTGGCTGATGTATTCAGCCACCCTAAGCTCTGCGAACTGACAGCCTCTTTGGAAGAGACAAGATCAACACGCCTCCCGGACGATGATGCCGTCGATCTTGCTCCTTTTGCGCTCTGGTCCTACACACATGACAATCTGCCAAGTGCACTCGAGCATCTATCTGCTCAATGCGACGTGGCTGTTGAGGATATCGAGGATGTCTACCCTTGCACCCCTCTGCAGGAAGGTCTCATGGAGACATCTTTGCTGCAAAAAGACACGTACATCAACCGCAACATGTTCTCATTGGACGCAGTGACCGATATCGCAGTATTCCAGCAGGCATGGTCCCAGCTTCTCGATCACTACCCTATCTTGCGAACACGCATCGTGCCTTCGCTGGGCGGCAAGAACTTGGTCCAGGTTGTGACGCGCAACCACCAGACGGCCTGGCAGTATCCAGACTCGGTGGACGAATATATGAGCAAAGACAAGCAGAGACCTATGCGGTACGGAGACGCGCTTGTCCGGTATGGCCTTGTGCGGCCACAGCTCAACGGCAGCGGCGATTCAGGATGTTGGACTTTTGTTTGGACTCTCCACCATTCCATTTACGACGGGTGGACGCTGGACATCTTGCTCGGCAGCCTCAGCCAGCTGTACAATCAGCAGAAGATCCCAAAGGTATTGCCTTTCAACCGATTCATCCGTTTCGTCAGCGAGACAGATGCCAGTGCCTCTCGCAAGTTTTGGGACTCGCAAATCGGCCGGGGCGATCTGCCCTCAGGATTCCCATCTTTGCCTTCGACGACGTACCAGGCCAGACCTAACAGGTCCATGATGCACACTGTCACAATCGCGTCGTCAGCTACTTCAACTTCATCAACGGCAAATGTCCTTCGCGCTGCCTGGGCTTTAGTGATAGCAACTCACACGTCTACTGAGGACGTGATTTTCGCCATGACGCTGTCGGGACGTAACGCTCCGCTGCCTCATATTGCCGAAATGGCTGCGCCGACTATTACAACTGTGCCAATGCGCATCTCGCTTCGCCAGAACGACACTGTGCGTGAATACATGCAGGCAATCGACCGTCAGGCCGTCGAGATGATGCCGCATGAGCACGTTGGGCTTCGCAACATTCGCAAATCGCTAGTAGGTAATCACCAGTCGTTGGAGCTGCGGCATCTGTTCGTCGTTCAGCCGAATGCACAGAAGATGGGTCGGGCGAGTCTCATTCGTACAAATACCGGGACGATGGCTTCTGTCGCATCTGCAGGGTTCGAGTCCTACGCTCTTGTCATCGAGTGTAGTCTCACGGATCAAGGCGCTCAGATTGAGGCCAAGTACGACGACACTGTTTTGAGTGTGGAAATTGTTCAGAAACTCTTGAACCAACTGGCCCGATTCAGCAACATCCTCTTGGACCCGGCAACCCACCAGACGAAGCTGCACGACCTGGCCCTCATCAGTGCCCAAGAGCTGGATCAGATCACAGCGTGGAACAACACGGTCCTCTCCCCAGTTGAGGAATGCGTCCATGACATGGTGGTACGTCAAGTCGTCAGACGGCCCGGGGCCCCTGCCGTATGCGCGTGGGACGGCGACCTTTCATACAGAGAACTATCTGACTTGGCAATCCGGCTATCACTCCATTTGCGACAACTTGGCGTGGGCCCTGAGTCTCTGGTACCGATCTACCTTGACAAGTCTCTGTACACAGTAGTGGCCATGCTTGCTGTCTTGTACGCGGGCGGCGCAAGCGTCCCCCTCAACACGGCTCATCCTCTAGAGCGCATCAGGACCATGATCGATCAAGTGGAGCCCACGTTGATACTTACCGATGGCCGCCATGCTGAGCAGTTCAGGCTTTACAATACACATGTTGTCGTGTTGGACGCCGCCCTGTTGCAGTCTCTTCCGCGCTCCGTCGGTACCTCCGCCTCCGCCGTCATATCGCCCGCCGCCACTCCGGAAAACTCTGCCATTGTCACTTTCACCTCGGGCAGCAGTGGTACCCCCAAAGGTGTGGTGCTAACACATTCTTCTCTTAGCAGCATGATCCAAGCACAAGGCTCTCAAATGGGATTCAGCGATACGACCCGAACGCTCCAATTCGCAGCTGCGAGCTTTGATGTTAGTAATAGCGAGATCTTCACAACGCTATCTTACGGCGGCTCCGTCTGTATGCCATCAGAATTTGACCGCCTCAACGATATCTCTGGCACGGTCTCCCGTTTCAACGTCAACTGGCTTTTCATGACACCGAGCCTCGCATCCAAGATTGAGCCCGACACTGTTCCTAGTCTGAGGCACCTAGCATTGGGTGGCGAAGCCGTAACGGACAATCTTGTACGTCAATGGGGGGACAAATTGCAACTCATCAACAGCTACGGGCCCTCGGAATCCAGCATCTGGACGTCCATGGCGGTTCTTCCTAGTGGCCCAGTCGGCGACTTGTCGCCTGCCAACATAGGCAAAGGCCTTGGGTGCAGGCTATGGATTGTAGACCCAACGAATCACAACCGGCTGTCGTGCATTGGCGACGTTGGCGAGTTGTTAATTGAAGGGCCCATACTTGCGCGCGGTTATCTCGGAGATGAGGAGAAGACGCGTGCGGCATTTATCGTGAACCCACCTTGGGCCGCCGATAAGGACTCTGAACACGGGCGACGATTTTACAAGACGGGAGATCTCGTCCGGTACTGCTCCGACGGGTCAATGGTTTACGTGGGACGAAAAGACGCCCAAGTCAAGATACGAGGTCAGCGCGTCGAGTTGGCCGAAGTGGAACACCATGTAAAGGCTGTGCTCAAAAGGTCGGAAGACATTGCCGTGGAGGTGCTCCGTCTGCGCTCCGATGAGCACTTCGAGCGACAGGCGCTTGGCGCTTTCATTATAACGACAGTCGCAGAGACCAACATCTCCACTTCCACGAACTCAAGTGGATTGCCCGTTCCGCTACCTGTCTGTGAGGCTTTCCAGGCGGAGATGCGTGATGTACAGAACGCACTAAACAAAATGCTACCTTCCTATATGGTACCTGGACTATTCATACCCATCGACCGATTCCCAATGAGTCAGTCCGGTAAGCTGGACCGCAAACAGCTCCGTCAACTCATGATCGAACTGGACGACGAACAACTGGCGTCGTACAGACTGAGTACGGTATCTAGGCGCGCGCCGTCAACTTCGCAAGAACTATTGCTACTTCCCTTGTGGGCCAAGATCGTTGGTGTGGAAGAGAGTACCGTCGGGGCTGATGATGACTTCTTCCTCATGGGCGGCGACTCCATCTCAGCCATGGAGCTAGTCAGCCTGGCACGGTCCGCCGGCATTTCGCTGACAGTCGCCAATATTCTACAATATCCCAAATTCTGTGACATGGCTTTGACAACAACAACAACAGCCGACGTCGAGGCGAATGCGCGCGGCTTGACTCTTCGCGCCGGTGTCAAGCCCTTCTCTACATTGGCAAGCAACGGAAATGACGATGTCGTTGAGTCCATCAGACGACGAATCGTGCCCCTGGTTCAGAGAACCCAACCATTAGCCGACATTGTTGACGCATATCCCAGCACAGACTTCCAAAAGTTCTCGGCAGCCTTTGCTCTATCGTCATCCAGGTGGTCACTGGTGTACGAATGCCTCGATGGCACGGGATTCATCGACACCGAGCGGCTGCAGCACTGCTGGAACCAGGTCGTAGACAGTCAGGACATCCTACGCACCACCTTCGTCTTCTTGGACAGCGACTTGATACAGGTCGTCCTGCGGAACGTCGATCTCGGCTTCACCGTGCATGATATTGGCGCTGACACAACCACGACGATTGAGGATTACACCGATGCGCTTCGAGCTCGTGACATGGACCAGCGACAGGTTACGGGTGCGCCTTTTGTACGGTTGGCACTGATCCGCAAACTCGGCAGCGACAAGCACCGCATTGTGTTCCGCATCTCCCATGCGCTGTATGATGGCATCAGCCTTCCCACCATGTGGCATCATCTTGAGTCCCTCTACAATGGGAGCACAGCTCCAGCTCCGACAACTGTCCCCTTCTCACACTTCATCTCAGCCGCACTGGCAGATTCTCATCGCGAGGCAAGTGTACAATACTGGCGTCACTTCCTCAAGGGCAGCTCCTTGACATCAGTCACGAACGGCTCGCATCCCGTACCCCGAGCCCGCACATCGCCATCGCGTGTCAGCTACACACGTCAAATTGTGATGCCGATTGCGGGCAACGTCACCTTTTCCAACGTCCTGCAAGGCGCATGGAGCTACGTGCTATCAGCCGTTTCTGGTCACTCCGATATCATCTTCTGGCATCTAGTCAACGGCCGAAGCCAGGCCACAGATCTCGTCCAGGGGCCCTGCGTCAACTACGTTCCTGTGCGCGTTCAACTCGATTCCCACTCTGACTCCAACCACGAAAACGCTACCATCATGCGCCAGCTCCAAGAGCAGCAAGTCGCCCGTCTCCCATACGAAAGTCTAGGGTTCCAAGATCTAGCCCGCACTTGCACAGACTGGCCCACCCTGTCGAGCCTGCACACAGCCGTGGCGCACCACAACTTGGACATTGGCAACAACCTAGTTCTCGGCGGTACGACCTACATACTTCACTCTCTACCCGACGACTACGATATGATCGACATCAAGGTGCTTTCAAATGCCGAACCCGGTGGGCACAGCTCTCGCATTTCCCTTTCCTACGCTGAGGACCTCGTCACGCCCGAATATGCCGATACGCTATTAAGTGCGCTTGGGCGCGCAATCGCGGGGCTTCCCCTTGACACAATCGAGCCGCCACCGCCACCGCCTCGCGAGGAAAATTCTTCAATAAGAAGACAAGAGCACGAAGAGTACGGTGAGGACATCGACGCAGCATCGCTACGGCTTGTCCAAGCGGCGTGGACAGATGTCCTAGGCAGCAGCACTGCCTGGTCCACCTGCGACTCTTTCGTGCAAGCAGGCGGCACGCTCATGCATGCTGTCCAGCTGGCCGCTTTATTATCGTCACAAGGTGTATATATTGAGACAGACGATATCATAACTTTGTCTACGAGTAATGCGCAGCGGAAGGCGGCGTCGATGGCGTGAAGAGGAGGTACTTCTCTTACTGCGACGTAATCATCGCGCAATATTCCTGTAATGCATAATTTGTTTGTTTTCATTTCCTATGTATTTAGCTCTTCTTGTTCGCGACCTTACTGTTGAACAGAGAAGTTTGTTAAAGGCGTTTCTTCGTTGTTTAGTTATTGCTACTTTTTCCTTGTCGTATTTTTCCCTGCATCTGGATAATAGCAAATTAAGTAACATGTATCTTGAAGGTAGATAATATGGATGAAGTTTGTGATTGCATATTGAAAGATGTTTAATAAGTAATATCTTATATGTGTTTTCCATTGGATTCAGACCTGTATCCACCTCGCAGCTAGGATAGGATAGGCCTGTGCTTCGGGGTGACGGAGTTACCGGACTGATCTAAGAGCCAGAACCCCGACGATGTTATTAATAAATACTCCTTTTCATTCCAGATTGTAATAGCCAACTCATTCCTATACTCTTCTTCCCTCAATACTCAGTCTCACCTTCGCTCGTATCCAGAAACATGACTCTATCGATTGAGGAAATCTCCGACCGTCTGGAAATTCAAGACATCTATACACGCTATGTCCATGCAGCTGACGATCGCGAGTCTCTGGATGACATTTTCCTACCAAATACAACATTCGACTGGACCTCCGCTGGTGGGGGAAAGATGACGTATGAGGAAGCCAAGGCGGGACCTGTCTTCACTGGCAAGCTGATTCCCTGGTCTTTCCACATTTACACGAACGCCAGGATCAACTTTTTAGAAGACAGACAGAAAGCAGTAGTGAAAGTAAAGGCAGTCAACCCAAGCGGTCTTGAGAATACGCAAGGGGAGCCATTAATGTTCCAAACCCATGGGACTTATACTGATCAACTGGAGAAAACTGTGGATGGTTGGCGCATTACAAACCGAATATGGCACGAGTTTACTATCGTTGGACCCTTTCAGAAGGTTAATGGTATCCCTGGTATATTGGAATCTGCTGGCAAGGCATATAACAGTTAGCATTTACTATAACATCAGCTACCCCACAACCGTCTATCCCCTATAACTGGCCACCTAATTTTCAACCTAACTACTCAATTTACAATTTACTATTTCTAAGATATCCCAATAACTATATATTGAATTAAAATTTTAACTTAACTATTAACTTAAAATGCATAAATAGACCTAAGTACTATTAAGAGGCAATTAGCCCGACATTATTTACTAAAATGGCTAATTTTGCTTAAAATTTAGACTTAAATTGAGTGAGCTTGACTCGAGCTGCTGATTAGCTGAGAATAACCTTAACCCTACACTTAGGTTTAGCTTAGGGTTAGTAAGATGCAGAGAAAAGGGGTTTCTCTTTACTTTAATAGTATTATCTAAGTCCTGCCTCATTTAGATAATTAAGGATTATGCTGGATTTACATTATGCTATTTTATATAGCTGCTATTTGCAAGAAGAAATAAGTATTATTAAACAGCAATAGAGAATATTATCTAGCTTAATTAGGACTATTAAGTGTTAATCTGCCAGCAATATTAAGCAGCTATTTAACCCGGCAGTAGTATTAAGTCTTATTTTTAATAGCAATATTAACTTAAGGGCTAAGTGCTTAAGGATATTATAAATTACTATAATGCACTTAAACTAGTTAACCTAAAGGTTATTATAACCCCCGAAGATGATATTAAGGCAATTAGCTAGCTTATTATTTTATATATATATAGCTATAATATATACTAATATCTTACTATTGCATGCAATAGTATTATCTGTTATTAGCGAGAGGCAGGGTATAATACAGCAGAGGAGTAATAAACCGAGGTGCAGCTATAGATATAGATAGGAGGGAAGTATATATACTACTAGACCGTTTAAGATAATAGCAATAGTAATAGCTTGCTTAATATAGCTAATATAGCTATATTAGCTAATACTACTAGTTAAAGCGCTATAGATAAGGTTATTACTGTAAGTTAAGCTTAATTAAAAGAGGAAAATACTATATAACTGCGAAAAGGTAACTTAAAGGAAAATATTAACTATAACTTATTATAGATTAAAAGGGTAAGCTAGGTATAATACTTTAGCTCTTAGAACTTAACTAGTATTTATAATGCAGTATAGTGGCTATAGGCAAGGGTAATAATAGGCAGATAGACTATAATATAAGATAATAAAGAAGCAGTCTATAAATAATTATTACTTAGCTGGCTTAAATAGAGCTTTAATTATAAGGTAAAATATTACTGCTAGTAACTTAATAGTATATTAAGATATTATAATTATAATAGTTATAATTCCTAAGGGATAAACTAGTTTATACTAGGTTTATATTAGTAAATATATAGTATTATAATCCCAGCGGTTATATTATATATACCTTATAATTTTCCTTTAAATAATACTAAGCTTACTTATACTAGAGTAACCCTTATTAGTTTACTTATATATATATAACTTACTCTATAGCTTACCTCTTATATTATAAGCCTTTTCCTAAGGCTTATTACTATATAAGTAAACCCTTATATATATATATATTCCTTTAGTATTAAATAGAATCTAGTTTATTAGATTTTAATAAAATATCTTTACTTAAATATACCTTATATACTCTACTTACTGTTAAGAAATATAATACTTTACTATACTTAGTATTATAATACTATATATATTTATTAATATAAAACTAGTAAGTAAACTAGTTTATCTATTAGGAGTTATCACTTTTATACTTTAATAACTCTTCTTTAAACTCTATTATATTAATATTAAATTATATTTATATAATAGCTCTTATTACCTTAAATTAACTTAATATTTTTAATTTTAAATAGTAATTAACTACTAAGACTAATTAGCCTTTATCCTAGGAATTCTATATTATACTTATAAATATCCCCTGTTAAAAATCCTATTGAAATTACTATAGTTATAATGCATAAATATAAAGAAATTTATATAACTTTTTTTATTATAACTCTGACTTTAATTATAATAGTTATAGTTCCTAAGGGATAAACTAGTCTATATTAGGTTTATATTAGCAGATATATAGGGCATTATAATACTAAGCAAAATAAAGTATTATATCTCTTAATAGTAAATATAGTAGGTAAGGCATATTTAAGTAAAGATATTTTATTAATAGCTAATAAGCTAAGTCCTATCTAGTATTAAAAGAGTATTTATATATATAAAGGTTTACTTATATAGTAATAAGCTTTAGGAAAAGGCTTATAATATCAGAGGTAAGCTATAGGGTAGGTTTTATGCATGCATAAGTAAGCTTAGTGAGACTCACTCTGGTATAGGTGAGCTTAGTGTTAGTTAGAGGAAAATTATAGGGTATATGTGATGTAATCGCTGAAATTATAATATTAATAGAGTTTCCCTAGGTAAGCCTCTATACTTATATTTATAATAATACTTTCTTTACTAATTATAATTAAATACTATAACTATTATATTAAATATTTTTACCTCTATTAATTATTTTAAATTGCTTATATTATTAAGGAATATAGTTTCTATAAGGTTATCTGTTATTTAATAATAATATATATTAAGTAAGTTTTCCTCCCCTATAATACTTTAAATATTATATAAAAGAATCCTAAGGGAAAATAGACTTAAAAGTCTATAGCGAAATATAATTAATATTATTTTATCTTTTATTATAATTAACTAATTCTTATTTATTATAGTATAACTTAAGCTAATTAATAGGCTATATAGCCTATTAAAAGTCTTCTTACTTATATATTTAAAGGCCTTAATAACTATTTTATAGCTATAGTGTGACGGTTGGGTTTTCCAAGGGATAAACTAGTCCGTTCTAAGTTTATGTTGGCAGAGTCGTAGGGCATGTGATACTGAGCGATTGCAAAGTATTACGTCTCTTAATAGTGAATAAGGCGGGTCAGGCATATTCAGGTAAAGATGTTTGATTGATAGCTGTTGAGCTAAGTGTACTAACTAAGGCTAAGTGAATGTATATATACTAATGTCTACTATGTTGGGAGCGACGATGAGTTGGGTTGTCGTTGGTCCTGGAGCGATGCGGTCCTGGAGCGCTGTCGGTCCATGTAAGTGTCGGTCCATCGTCGATTGGCCGATCTTACGATACGATGTGGGGAAATGAAAAGTAGAAAAGTGGGGTACACGTGACGTAACCGCTCAGGTCGTAACATATAGCCTTATTAATTATAGTAATTATATAATTTAATAGTATAGTATAATAATATCTTAGCTATAATTAAAGTTAATTTAATATATTATATATTAAATATTAAATAATATATTTAATTACTTATTTATTATTTTAGCTAATTATCTTATTAAATAAAAGTAAAGAAAGAATATTATATTATTAAATATTTATTATATATTTATTTTAATATAAAGTTTTTACTAAAATCTTTTATTATAAATCCTTATAGTCTTACTAATATTTTTACTAATTACCTTTATTATTAAAATCTTAGGTTCTTACTAGGAAAATTATTATAATTTAAAGTTATATTAAGTTTTTAAAATAAAATAATACTAGCTATATTATTATTAATTAATACTAAGTAAATATATATATACTTATAATAGCTTATAGTTTACTTTAGGCTTATACTATTAGTTATAACTTATCTTTTAATTTATATTATAAGCTATAGGTTATAGAGTCTAGTGGCTTATATTTTAATTAAGCTAGTATAGGTAGTTAATATAATAATTAGTGAGAAACAGTAGGGTGTATATAATTATCTATTGAGTTATAATATTAACTCGCATAAACTGCATATTATTACAGCCTAAACCTAAACCTAAACCTAAACCTGATCCTGGGGGCGCTATAGCTCCATATATAAGAATGCAGTATAAGGTCAGGGACCTTACATCCTAGTCTTTTGCGCCTTAGCGCAGCGAATGAGACCCATATCGCTTTGGTCAATAACGTGGCGCTGATTGGCTGAAGATAGCCCAAACCCCATACTTAGGGTTAGCGCAACGCAGAGGAAAGGGAACTTCAATTAACATAAGACAGCTTAGGGCTAGTAAGATATAGAGAAAAGGGTCTTTACTATTATATATTAAACCTAACCCTAGTGCTACAGTCTAAGATTAAGTGTTATACAGTGGGTTTAATTTACCCCGCTTTACAGGGGGTAGACTTGGATTTCTGATTGGTGCTTGGGTATACGTTCAGATAAGATAACACTTTAACAGCAGCGCGTCAAGTTCTGGCTCCGATTTATCGGCGTCTGTAGCGACAACTGTGAGATCTAGCCAGAAATCATTTTTAATTATTTTTAGAACTAATTCTTCAGGCCATAGCGCTCAAGCCTACGACAGAGCTCGGCCCTTCTAACCCTATATACCCGTTTATGCTTCTTTCTGAATATCGGATTGTTATTTGTCAGTGTTAAAGTAAAAAAAGGGTTGATTATATTGTTGTTAGTTCTAAGTTACATGTGTCTGAGAGGAGCACAGCTCCTGACATAGTATCCACATCCCAGCCATCAGTAGGTCGGACCACCTTAGCCACACTGTCTCAACAATTGGATACCTCCCAGACAGCCGATACGGTATCAGCTCGGCTGCAGCCGTCGCTCGAGATATGATCCGGCTGTTTCCTAGCTTGAGGTTCGCCTTGATGGTAGGCATCGGGGGAGGCGCCCTAGCGCCAGAGAGAGACATCCGCCTTGGCGATGCGGTTGTCAGTATGCCACAGGGCAAGCTAGGAGGAGTGATACAATACAACTTTGGGAAGAAGCTATCGAATGGTCAATTTCAGCAGATGAGCCAGCTGAACTCTCCTCCAGAGGTGCTGTTAGGAGTGATTTTTGTGATGTGACGCTGGCACAACGACCCGAGGAAGCCAGATAAAATATTAAAGCACCTAAAACTGATGGAGGATATTCCTGAATATTAACGCCCTACAGAAGACCGACTATACCGTGGCGACTATAAGCATACAGGTGGAATAACCTGTGCAAGTTCCGCGATAAATAGGCTCGAGGAGCGACCACTACAGGTGGATAAACGAGTAATTACTGTCCACTATAGCATCATTACATCTGTAAACTCAATTATAAAGAATGCTGAAGAAAGGGATAAATATACTCGAGGTCCAGAACTGAATTCCTTAAGCTTCGAGATAGAAGCTGCCGGCTTAATGAATAACTTCCCGTGCCTAGTCATTCAAAGAATCTGCGGTTATTCGGGTTCACACAAGACCGCCGAGTGGCACAGATATGCAGCACTGGCAGCGGCGGCTTATGCTAGAGAGCTTCTTCCTGTTCTGAAACCTCGTAAGGTGAGAGCATTGCCGTCATATGCCGGCAAATTTAAAGATAGTAAGTAGCATCGTCTAACAAATTCAGATAATATTTGCCTCGTTTCCACAAAGATGTTCTACGTGAGACATGCGAGGGTCCTGGTTGGACTCTAGCTTTGATCCTGGAGCAGAAGGAAGCGTGAGAAGGAGAGGAGATTGGTGCCTATGACACGGCCATTACAAGCGACATGACAATAAGTTTTTGTGCTTTCATATGCTAAAGAACTGTAGTCTTATCAGGCTTGAATACGAAGGTCAATCAACCTTCCGATGGCGTTCAAGACATGCGGTTTCGACAGCTCAATCAAGAGCATCAAGCTACCCTCGATTGACTTACCCTAGTTGACTACGGCGCTCAACAGAGCGACTACTTCGGAAACAGACAACAAGGAACTGGACAATGGTTTCTGGAATCCACAGAGTACCGAGAGTGGATAGAAGCGGACGGCAAGACACTATTCTGTCCGGGTATTCCAGGGGCCGGGGAGACGATATTGTCGTCGATTGTAATTAACGATCTCTACACGCGATTTTCCCACGACCCCAACATTGGGATCGCCTATATTTACTGCAACTTTCGGCGGGAGCAAGAGCAGAAAATTGTCGATCTGTTGGCAAGCCTGCTCAAGCAACTCAGCCGGGGCTGGTATCGCCTGCCGGAGAGTGTTAACTCGCTTTATGATAAGCACAAGAAGAATGCGACACGTCCATTACTTGGGGAAGTGTCGGCAGCCCTAAAGTCTGTGGTGGGGTTATATGTAATGGTGTTTATTACTGTTGACGCGCTTGACGAATGTCAAGCACTTGATGACTGTCGGGGCATATTTTTGTCTGAAATCTTTAGGCTCCAGGGCAAATTTATGGTGAACATTTGCGCAACATCAAGGCCCATTTCCGACGTCGCCAGTATTTTTGATCGAGCTCTATGACTTGTCATCCGCGCGACTAATGATGGCGTCGCCCTGTATCTCGAGAGAAACATGGGAACGCTACGGTCAGTCGTCAAAACTAACCCGCGGCTTCAAGAACAGATCAAGACAGGAATATCAGAGGCCGTGGGCGGAATGTGGGTGCCCAGTGGAAATCGGCGCGGAAATGCTTGCTGACAGTCGCACAGGTTTCTCTTGGCCCATATTTACCTTCAGTTCCTCAAGGACAAGGTGACCGAGAACGATGTTCGAAGTGCCTTGGAAGGAATCCAGAAACAAAAAGAGGTATCTGGGGGCGACATACCCAAATTACTATAGAGCGCTTACGATCAGGCAATAGAGAATTAATAGACAGGAGATGGGGCTCAGGGAGTTCGCCATACTGGTCCTCTCATGGATTACTTGCGTGAAGCGACAGCTTACAACAATAGAGTTACAACATGCACTTGGGACTAAGAAAGGCAACCGATCACTAGACACCAGAAACCTAGTACCCATCGAGAGTAGAGTCTCAGTATGTGCGGGGCTAGTCACTGTGGACAAAAAAAGCGACATCATTCAGCTTGCCCACTACACCACGCAGCAATACTTCAATGGCAAACAGAACGAACTTTTTCCAAACGTGAGATCCAATATGACCACGGCGTGCGTAACTTACTTGTCATTTGATGCTTTTGGTAGCGGATTGTGTCGGACGGATCAAGAATTTGAAGAGCGAATGAGATTGTATCCGTTCTATCACTACACTACACACCACTTGGGCGATCATGCTCGTCAGATTCCAAGTCTACGCCAAGAGGCCGCTGACTTTCTTGAATCCGGAACGAAGGTCGAGGCATGCGTACAATCACTGATGTATAGAAATTGTGGTTACTTTCAGGTGTGGAAACGTGACGAATATGTGCCACAGCAAATGACTGGGCTGCATTTAGCGGCATACTTGGGGATCAAGGATGGCGTGCAAATACTGACCATTAGGAATCCTATGAATCATAGAGACAGATACAGTCGGATCGCATTGTCTTACGCAGCAATGAGAGGAGATCATCATTCAAGCCCCACTTCAACAGCCGTAAATTAACGGAAACTAAAATTGTCAGGCTAAAGCGAGAGACATAGCCTTCAGTTAGTAAACACCGTGTGGCGGAGCAAGAATCTTAAAGAGCGCAAAGCGCAACCAAGACAATGGTAATTCTAACGACATGCGAACTCTATTTCGATTTAGCCACGAGTCGTCTCATCCCAGCTGAGACTTCACAAGCCATCTCCTTCTTCAAGATGGCCTCTTAGCAAATCCTATTCCTGAGTGCTGTCATCGGCGCGCAATTCCAAGGTTAATTAGTCCGCTCGCGAAATTGTTTGTAATAACTCTTTAAGATATTAGCAACCTCAATCCCCCTCTTGTGCTAACCCATAATTCTAGATGCTTCCAGATTCGAAAGGTTACTTCTGGCTGCGTGTTGATGACCTTCTAAAGGGCGTGTTCGCTCGTGCTCCGTTTTTCTTTAGGGCCGTGATAGAAGCTCTGTGGGAGGTCGTGCGATGATGTCTGGCCGGTGTACTATGTAGACGGCGATGGAGGCGGTGAACTTGCGAGTGCACCCTACTCACTAAATAAACCCAGGTGGTCGTCCTTACCCACTCAACCAGGAGTGACTACCATTCATACTGTCGTTTAGGGTGTTCCCATGGGGATGATGGTAGAAGTCTGTATCATGGGAGGAAAAATGGTTTCGCTTACCTAGTTGGAATGTCGGCCCTAGTCACTTTGACAATCGAAATTGTCTACCTAGTCCACGTGTGAGGAATATGCCGCTCGACCTTTGCATGGGAATGATTAACTAGATTTTCTTGGTGTAACTCGGCTGACATGAGCTGCTTTACAAGACAGCCTGTTCCCACTGGAGTCTAGCTGAATCTTAGGTAGGGCTAGTAAAGTCATAGTTCTGTGGCAGTACGTCTTCTGGTGGATGGATGTGTACTCAGGAGTGAAAATTACGGTGGGTGCAGCCCAGGCTTCAAAACACTGTTCTAGAGCAAAACAGAATCCTCATCGATGACTATCTCTTTGAGTGTAAAAAGCCTCCATTTCGTACCTTGACCCACTTGACCCCATCTACGTGAAGGTTACAGAAGCTTCGCCGTAGGCAAAGTTGAAAAGGTTGTCTTCTTCCGTACCTGGTCTACCTTCCTTACGGTATAGCCTTCTAAATCAGCTCTTGCAATTAGTTGATAACCCTCTATAGCGAGTTGGGTACAAGTTGACCCGTAGCGGCTAATTGGCTATATATCCTTGTCGTGACGCCACTGGAGGCTTGTTACACTCAAAGAGATAGCGTCTTGGACTGTCAGCGCCTCTTTTATAATGAGGGTATGCAGGTACGGCACTATTTACCCCAGCAGGAACCCCTTCCCGTACAATATTCACAAAGATGGCTCATCTCATGGTTTTAATCGACAAGCGGTCCGGCATCTCCAGTATTACAGTCTCTGGTTTATCCAGACTCGTCGCTCTATTCTCAATCATCCCTATCCTGTTAGCAATTCTAGGCCTTATGGCATGGCGTTTCCTTCGATGCAGGAGAAGAAGGACCGCGGAGAACTTAGAACTAAGCCCGTTTCGATGGAAACCGTCATCTCTCAAATACTCGACTCTAATAATCTATCTTGCCCTCATTTTCACCTTGATTATACTACTCGAGGCTGCTAGGCTTGCTCTCCCAGAACGAGGAGCATCTGAGGCAGCTGCACGGTCGAGCGCCGCCAGAGAGGTGGTTATCGTAACAAAAACGTTAGTGGTTAGAGCAGATTCCCATCTTGTAACAATCATTCCGACGCAGGCCCAGGCATTGTCTGTATTCTCAGACGAGGAAACAACGTTCATAGAAACAGCCCAAGAACCAACTGAAGGGTGGCTTACAGTAGGCGAGGTTAGCCCATCATTAACAGATCCAACTTCTACTGAACAACCCACAGCTGTGGGCTGGCTATCGGACCCGACATCAATTACAGAACCCGGTGAACCAGTTTCAGGAACAGGATGGCTACCATTATCAGAACCTGATCCTACTTCTACTGAACAACCCACAGGTGCTCCGCCGGGATCTGTAGGCTGGCTACCGGGTCCCACATTAACCACAGAGCTGCCGCCTGCTGCACCAGGTCCAGGTATAGGATGGCTGCTTAACGAAGATGCTGAGTTATCGCCTCACACAATGTACTTCATCGGCACATTCCTGCCAGTTCTAATAGCGTCAATCTTTGCGATCCCATGGAAGATACTAGACCACGACGTCAAGAGTCTCGAGCCCTTTGCTCAACTGGCATCTTCCAGTGGTAAAACCGCGCCGCATAACCTACTTCTTCACTATAATGGCGTCTCTGGATTTATGGCCGTATTCACTGCGCCGTTCACCGGTCACTCAGCTGTGGCTCTTTCGACGTTCTTGAGCTACAGCTCGGCTCTGCTGATCCCCCTAGCGACCGGGAGCATTGGCCTCACCCTTCAAGGGGAATGTCTCCAGAACTGGAAAAAGCAATGCTCTGCGGCACTCGAAGCAGCAGATCCCACCATCCGGGCAACACAGGGACTGCTCGCAGCAATGGCTTGCGCCGTTATCGTATATATGGTCTTGCTGCGAGGGAGGACTTTCGGAGTGATGTCCGACCCGCGCAGCATGCTGGGGATAGCAAGCCTTTCTTTGAACCCATATTTATCTGCTGTCGTACGCAGGATCACTTTGCGGCCTGATGGAATGTTTTCAACTGCCAGAGCCGCTGCAATGTTCGAGGGCCGAACATTCCAGTTTGGCTATATCAGCTATGCGACGGGAGAACAGGAGTATGGGATTATCGTCGCGAATGATTTCATTGAGAGTCATGATCAGATATTGGGTTCTCCTCCGGCGCTTGATGTAGGAGCGTCGAAGCGATGGATTGTTTCTGGGATATTAATGAGAGTGATTAGCTTTACTATCTTTATACTGAGTGTATGTATTCTGATCCTCTACTATTCACTCACCTATACGGATAGTGGGTTCGAGAGATTCATGTCTTCGCAGAAGAGGTTTGGGCCCCGGTTTCTCTTTGCTCTTTTTGGAGTTATTGTTGGATTTGGCTGGACCTCCATCTTCCATGGTAGGTTATGTGTATTGGTCACTAGGAGGTTCCTACTAATGATGAGCTCAGAGCTGGCAATCGTCCTTCCTGCCTGGGACATGTATCGACGTCCATCAAAGCCCGAACGGACTGTCCTCATGCCCTTGAACCCGAACCCCTACGTTGGGGTTATTGCATATCTAGCCCGCAGGCATAAACTGCTAGCGGTGGTCGCCATCATGACTGTGCTAAGCGACTTTCTGCCTATCATGTTCGCCAACGTTCCTTTCAGTAACGCAATCACATGGAAAACACACAGAATCTGCGTGTGGATGAGCGTAGGGGTGCTAACCTTCATGCTTGCCGTCCTTGTTTTCATCGTCGGGATTCTCCTCTGCAAGTTCCAGCGCAACCAGCTTCTATTTATAGGAACGGATCTCGCTACACTTGCGGCGGTTTTGTACTTGGTGTGCCGGTCGGAAGATTACCTTGCACAGGTCAAGTACCTTTCGGTGGCTAGAGAGGCGGATATCATAAAGCGGATTAAGTCGCTCGACTCGAGATATTCTATTATTAGCATTATAGGTGAAGATGGAAACCCGCATATTACAATTCGAGCTGGTTAAGAAGGCAGGGTTTAATCTCGTATGGCCGTCGACTAAGGTTCTCTCAAACGCTTTCCCGCATATGTGGAATAAACCCTCTATGTCACAGTCTGAGCTCAGTATACAGGTGGACGGAGATGCGCGGGTTAGAATATAGTCTATTGCTACGGATAAGTACTGCAGGCAGGTCAGGTTCTATTAATAAGATATAGCTCAAAGAGCTACGTTTAGGATCTACTATCCAGTACCCACCTGTAATAGTTGTGATTCCCAAGGGATAAACTAGTCTATACTAGGTTTATATAAGCAGATATATAGGGCATTCTAATACTAAGTATAACAAAGTATTATATCTCTTAATAGTAAATAGAGCAGGAAAGATATACTTAGGTAAAGATATTTTATTAATAGCTAATAAGCTAAATTCTATTTAATACTAAGTAAATAAATATATATATACTTAAGGGATCCTTAAGGGATTACTTAAGTTTAAGGTATATATAATATAACCGCTAGGGTTATAATACTACTATATATTTAATAAATAAATTTCCTCTCTATATAAAATATAACTTTTTAATATTTTATTAAAATATTATAGAAAAAAAGTAATAATATAATATTTTATATAAATAAGTTTTAATTAATCTAGTGTTTAATATTTTCTATATTTCTTAACTATATAGCCTCTGCGAGTATATATAATAAGTAATTCTTTTAACTTGGAATTTAAGCTTTTACCCTTTTATACCCTATTAACTTAATCTCTAGTCTAGCTATTATTCTAGCTAAATAAGTAATTAGGGTTACCTAGATTATATAGCGGTTATAAGTAATATATAGGCTATTTCACTAGGATAAAATTCCCCTAGGATAATAGTAATAATTAAATTAAAAATAAATAAACCTTAACCCTAAGTTAATAGGGAATTAATATTAAATATTAAGAATAGGCTTAGAAAATAATAAAAGAAATAAATAGTTTAATTAATTTAATAAATATAGAGTTTATATCTTATTATAGTAATAATAAAAGTAAATCTATATAATTATATTAAGTTAAATATATCTTTATTAATAGATATTATAATAAATAATAATAGTATTATTATTTAAATTTAATTAGATTTAAATTAAATATTATATTAATAATATTATAATTATTTATTATTATATATAATTATAAAAAAGTATATAATAGATTAAATAATTTAGCTTTATAAATAACTTAATATTTTACTTTATTTAATTTATAAGGTAACTATTAAGCCTAAGATTAATAGAGTAAAGTATTATTATTATAATTACTATAAAACTACTAAGGAAATACTATAAGTAGTAGTTATATTTATAGTATTATTCTTATTATAAAGGTAATACTCTTATATACTATAGGACTTAATAAATAAGAATATATAACTATTATTATATATAACTATATTAATCTCTAGGCTAAAGATATATAAGAGGTTTAGCTCTAAGTATAAAAGCTATTACTTTTTAATTTATAATAAGTTAAATCTTTTTATAAATAGAACCTATAGTAAATATAAAATATAAGTAAAAGAGAGTAAATATAACTAAGAGTATATAATACTTTAATTACTATATAAAGCCCTATATATAAGGTATTAAATTATTAACTTAATATAGGGTACTAAGATTAATATTAATAGCAGTTTAGCTTTTAAATATATTAATAATAGTATAGCTACTAAGGATATTTTATTACTATAGACTATTTAAGTATATAAGAAGGAATTAAAGAAGGCAGAGGTAGAATAGTAATATTAAATTATAGCACTAAGTAAAGTTAAAATTAAGTTAAAATAAGTATTTTATTTTTTTATTTTATACTTTATGCTAAGCCTAAGTCTTCTTAAGTTTTCTTATAAATTTAAAACTAAAGAATCTATATAGATTAAAAACCTAATATATTAAACCTAAGTTTCTTTTAATAATTAATTTTCCTAATAAGATAATATAGTAATAACTAAACTCTATAATAAAAAGGCAATAAAAAAAACCTCTATATATATAATAGCTTTTTCCTCCTATAACTAACTATTAAGTATCTTTTAACTTATTTAAATATTAAGGCAGTTAATTAATCCCTAGTCTATCTATAGCTGCATTATATAGCTAATTAATATAGCACTATACTGCCTAGAAGAAGAAGCCTCTATAGTAGTATTTATAACTATTTTAATAGCTATTTCCCCAGTGAAAAGAATACTATTAATATTATTTTACTTAGTAATAATAATAAAGACTTAAAGTAGCTAAGGTATAAAGCCAGATGCCTCTAAGAGGCTTAATATAATAATAATAACTATAGTTTTAATAGGCTAATTGCCTTTAGCTATAAGCTCCTTTTACTCTTTATAATATATTTTTAAACTTATAAGCTAGGCTAGATAGTAATAGGGCTTAAGTAAAAGCTTAAGAATTTAAGGGACTTTAAGAAGAGGCTTATTACTATAACCCTAGTAGTTATATTTTATATACCCTATAAATTTTATATAAGTTAACCTACTTAATTATAAACTTACTTTATAAGTTTACTAGACTAATTATAAGTAGATTATACTTATATAGGGTTACTATATTCTAAGAGTACTTATAATCTAGGATTACTATAATCCTTAGATTTAAGTAATCCCCTAAGGATCCCTTAAGTATATATATATTCACTTAGTATTAATTAATATACTTAGCCTACTAGCTATTAATAAAACATCTTTACTTAAATATATCTTACTTACTCTATTTACTATTAAGAGATATAATACTTTATTATACTTAATATTATAATGCCCTATATATTTATTAATATAAACTTAATATAGACTAGTTTATCCCTTAGAAACTATAACTATTATACTTATAAAAAGGGTTAATAATATCTATTATAATAAAGTTACCTTCCTTAAGGAAATTAAGTTAAACTATAGGTATAAGGCCTAATATTTATACCTTAGGTTATAAGTAGCCTAGGCTAATAAGGCCTTTAATAATACTATTATTAAGTTAATTCAAGATAAGATTATAAAGAATACTATTAAAATAATTAAAGTAATAAGAGTATCTATTAAGGAGGCTTTATAAGTACTAGAAGCTATATATATGGTTAATTAAAGGTTAATAGAATTCTATTATAGATATAGAAAGTTAAAATATAAGCTAACCTAGAGGTAAAAGCTAACTCTATAGGAATTAATTTAATTATATAATATACCATTTTAAAATTCTATTATTAAACTTATATTAAGATATTAAAATTTTAAATAATATTTTAAACTAGGGTAAAATAAGTATAATTTATAAAATAGTTAATATATTTATAGCAGAGGGATAAATCAATATTATATTAGGCAGAATTATTATTAGCTATTACTATAATTAAGTAGTAAATATAGCGTTATAAGCATTATAAAGTGAATTAAAGGCTATATAGGTTAATTAAGAGTTTTTAATATAAGCTTAACTATTATATAAAGAGGTTAAATAAGGTATTAAATAAAATACTTATATAGCTTAATATTATTAATTTAATTAAGCTAGTATTAGCTATATTTAACTAAAAGTAATAAATAAATATAATAAATAAGTATAATATATATTAATAGTAATACTTATATTATTATATTTAAATTTAGCTGCTTAAGTATAATATAGTAATAATAAAGTATAGTATTTAATTTATAGAAAAGCAGTAAAATTCTCTAACTAATATTATTTAATAACTTAATATTATAACTTTAGCAGTTATATTATATATACTTTAACTTTTATATAATATACTCTACTTAATTATTAACTTACTTTCTAATTATACTAGATTAACTATAAGTAGATTATACTTATATAGAATTATTATACTCTAAGAGTATTTATAGTCTAGGATTACTATAATCCTTAAATTTAAATAATTCCCTAAGGATTCCTTAGGTATATATATATTTATTTACTTAATATTAAATAGACTTTAGCTTATTAGCTATTAATAAAATAACTTTACTTAAGTATATCTTATTTACTTTATTTATTATTAAAAAATATAATACTTTACTATACTTAGTATTATAATGCCTTATATATCTGCTAATATAAACCTAGTATAGACTAGTTTATCCCTTAGGAATTATAACTATTATAAATTAATAGAGCTTATAACTTCTTAATTATATAAAACTTAGCCTGTTTATTTATTTTACTGAGTAATAAAGCTAAATTCTATATATTGTTTTTTTTTTCCTTTCTTTTCCTTTTAATTAAAAATTAAATATTAACTTAAATTAATACTAAAGGCCCTATAAATATTATACTGCTTTTAATATTTATATTAGCTATTGCCTTACCTTTATACTTTTACTTACCTATTAATAATAATAATACTATAGCGTCTGCCTTTTAGAATTAATCTTTAAATTAATTAAATATATTAATTAAATATATAAAATAAGAAAGATAATTCTAAGCTTATAACTTACTATTTAATTAAATTGCCTATAAAGAGTAACGTGTTTAATAAGCGAACCGGCCAGATAACCGAAACGGCTAAAATTCTTAACCTTTCTAATTCAATCAGTAATAAGAACACCATAACCTATCAGATCAATTAAAACTAATTACTATCCTCTTCCTTAATAACTATAATTCCTTCTTGACAAGTCCTTGCATTATGCCCGGCCTTCCCGCAAGCCCTACAGTGCCGAACCTTCAGTCCTTCTGACCTTCTGCGACTACCACTTCTCGACGATTCGGCCACTACCTGCGTATCTATATCCATCTAATCAATTTGACCCTAGGCATTCCCTATAGTTATCTTGCCGCTATCTTATAGCCGGGTTCTTTTCCTCCTTTTATTCTGGCTAAGTATTATATTTCCTTCTCGAAGATCTCTGACTTTAGCCCATAATAGAGCTATCTTATGCATATATTCCTTTAATGCCTTTATATTAGACTTAATAGCATTAATAATAGACTCTGGAGAGCTGCTTTTATATCCTCTGATTCGCTTTTAAAGGTATTCGGAATGAGAATTAGCCTTATTGATAGTCCTTGGTGTCTTTGGGGTCCAAGGTTGAGCTGGGCCGGTACCCTCCTCGGGAGGCGTTAGAGTCCGTAGCTGTATATTAAGCTTTAAGGTGATATGTTCTGGGTCAAAGGGGACAAGCCTGGCCCCCTTAAAACCTCCCTTGATATTGCTTTCTGTAAAAGTAGCTTGGTGAGCGGTGTAGAAGGCGGGAAAGAACTCGGTCTTAGTGATATGGGTTATAGAGCGTCTCATAAGATGCTCAATTTCTCGACTATAGGCCTTTTTCAGTAGCCTAAAGCACCCGACATTAAGAGGCTGGAGTAAATGAGAGGAATGAGGAGGCATATAAAGCGGGATAATCTTCTTTTCCTTGCAGTATGCTTCAAAGTCGGCCGAGTAATGACTTTCGTGACCATCAAGGATCAGAAGGCAATAAGTACCAACTGATCGGTTAGCTGTATGCTGATCAAAGTGCTTTAGCCAGTCGAGACCAGTCTCGTTATTTGTCTATCCATTTGGAGTTATGGCAATAGCCCAATTGACCGGGAGGCTGCTTCCTTTGTACCAGCTGCGAAGGTGATTCTTGCCTGTAACTATGATGAACGGCGGAATAGCCCAGCCTCCTGCATTAATCGCCTTAATCACTGTAACCCATTCCCGGCTTCTAGGCTGGACTGATTTTAGCCTTCCGCGCCTCTCTGCACTTGTGACCACTTTGCCGGTTGAAATCATACCCATCATAAAGCCAGTCTCGTCAAAGTTCCAGATATTATCTATATAAATACTATATTTCGCAATTGTGTTCTCTATGAGCCTGAACCAATTGCGAATAATAGTCGGATTTTCACATAAGGCTCTCTTATAGTCATATCTCCGAGGAAAACGCGTCTTAAGCTCTAGTTGCCGCTTAATAAAATTAATAGCCCAGCGCTTGCCAACTGGTAGTGCATTGCAATCAGCAAGGAGTCGATTGGCTATTTCTTCAATAATACGTATTTAGGGAGGAAATCCTCGTAGATCTAGGTCTATAATAGACCGAAGTAGTATCTGCTCTTCTAGATTAGATAGCTTCTGCCTATTTGCTATGATATCACGTCGTGATTGAATGCCCTTCTTGCGATCAGAGAGTCGCCGATGATTGACGTCATAGAGCTTTGCAGCGCCTCGCAGAGTTAATTTTGGGTCATTTTGATAAGCTTGAAGTGCTAGAAGTATATTGCCTTCTTTAATAGCTTGTGACATTTATGGTGGTTAAGAAATAATTGATTTAATAGTGTTAATATAAGGTGAGGGATTTTTGGCCGGTTCGGTTGTCTGGCCGGTTCGCTTATCAAACACGTTATATAGAAAAAGACTTAATTATAATTACTATAGAAAATCTTTAAATCTACTAAGATATACAGGCCCTTGTAGTGTATTATATGGGGAATTAATAGAATATAGTGCCTAACCCTGACCCGGATAGGACCTCCTATGTGGTCTAACATGGATTAGCTGGGTTTCTCTATCGTCGACAATAACGCGACCTGCAACATAGGTCTATAAATAAGAATTTCAGGCCAAAAGGCAGGTAATACTTATTGATTGAGAAGAATTACGGTTATGACAATGCATATGCTGAGTTTGTAACACCGGGATATATACATTTTGAGTTAATATAGGAGAATCGTGGTTCCAGATAGAATGTCATCCTTCTCCAATACACTAACAATTGACAAGTTAGCTGCCAATGTCAGCTGAAAGCTGAAAATGAAGAGAAGTCTTTGCCAGGTTGTTTAAACAACACTTTCTGCTTTCAGTCAAAGATCCAACGACTGCGAAGAGAAGACAAAAACATCCTTATTTGCAAAAAGTAAAACAGTAATGCCTCCTACAGGGTAGTTTCATGGAAAAATACTATGCCAATAGTAAATAGTAAGTTTAGTCTTGAATAAGGTATACAAGCTACTACTTGAATTTAGCTGGTAAGTAAAGTATCCTAATTATAATAGCGACTTTCTAGTATTAACATCGACACTGTTCTTTACTAACTCACTCCTCGCCCTCAACAGCACACTCCTGTTCACTATCACCATCGGGGTCCGAACTGCAGAGCTTTTTATAGCTTTCATGCTGTTGGTCAATTGGAAGGGGATTTCCGTTCTTGTCTTCATAGCCTAGATACCATATTGTCAGCCATATAGCAATTATCTGTATGAAAAGCACCCCAAGTCCAGTGCCATGCCTTTGATGGCGGGTAATAACGGGGAAAGAGGATGATATCAAAGCAAAGCTGTACTTACGGACGGCCCAAAATACAATCGGTTGATTCGTGCTCGAGTCAATTTCAGCTGAGAAGGCGCATGTATTATCTACGGTCTCCTCGACATTGTCGCCACACGTTGGAGTAGACATTCCACCGTTCGGATTAGGGATGCCAGGGGCAAAGTCATAGCGCGATGCGACACCGCACGTCTCAATCCATTTGGGGAAGTATACCCATCGCCAATAATCTTTTTTGTTGATTTCCTGGGAATCCTGTTGTACCGTCTTACCATACGTGACAGAGGTGGAAACTGTATGTGTGTATTCGTATCAATAAACTGCGTCCGCACTAGTGGAAAGAAAACTTACAGTCGTAATTCACACCAGCGCCAAACATTTCCTTAAAAACCCCTTCGACGCCGATAGAGAAGCCGTGACTGTTTGAGTATTCCGTGTTTTCAGCAAGGACAGCCTTGATGTCTGGCGCATTCTGCGTGCCCGCCTGACCCTCGGGAACAGACTCGAGACCGAGATAACCGGCACGGCGCTGTTCGCAGTAGGACCAGCAATCATTACGGTAGATGGGCGAGGGGCAGACCCCATCAACCAATGTATGACCTTCCTTCTGATGGCAGTTTTCCTTGTAAACGCCATCGTAGCCCATGGTTGCGCATGGGTCGATCCCCTGACGAGCCTGCAGCGCGTTTCCAGTCGACGACTCCGGGACCCTCGGCCTGTAGCGGCTGCGGATGAAAGGCGCCGGCACAAACCTCTTCCCATCGGACCCGGCCTGCTTCTTGCCACCCGGAATATCTGGAGGGTTAGCGCCCGGAGGGACTTTGATGTTCTTGCCGCCGTTGACGCCGAACGCAGCAAAGGTCAGGTTATTAACCACGTGGATGCCGCTGAAGCCGGCCTCGTCGATATTGCAGTCCTTGATAAGCTGATCAATACCGCGTCGGACCTCACCACGGTTCACTGTACGGTTACGGGCGTTACCATTGCACAGAGATACCATGGTTGACTGGTGACGATGGTAAATGCAATCCTTCTTGGCAAGAAAGGTACCTTTTTCAAAGGTATTATTCTGTGCAAGAATATTGCCTGCAATAAGAGCGTCTGGACTTAGGTAGCTGTAGAAATGAAGAGTTATAAGTTAGTTATAAATGGGGCTGGTATAGGTAGGAGTGAATTAAGGAAGCTGAGGTAACCTACCCACGATCAGCCCAGCAGGATGAGTACCGCGAGTCACTGTCATCCGTGGCAATAGCGACACCCGCAGCACCAATGGCGGCGAAGATAAATGCGAGACGCATCCTGGCTTTACAAGTTTGGAGGCGACAGTTTAGATCCGATAGAGGAAATGACTAGGGAGTAGAAGTGTTTGATGATCTGCTTCGATTCTAAACTGGCAGTTCAATGGGCGATCATCATCTTTTTATACAAATTTCACATTTGTCTTGATCCTTATTATAATCCCCAAACAGGAAGTCGCCGTATTCATCTCTAACTGTCTGGGTTTGAGGTTGTCCTTCCTAATGCGTAGTAGATATCAAGAGCTATATGCACAAGAGAGCATGTATACCAATGGCTTCAAGGTTGTTATCCTTTCTCAGGACCGCCAAAAGTACCATGTCCTTACATACTACCTAGAAAAGAGTTATACTCCGCTCCCGGATTGACATTGAGTTCCTCTTTTTTAGATATCAGTCATCGTCTTAATATCACTATGAGAGCGCTATTTCTACTAGCAAATATAAGCTATCTTCTATTAACCCAACCTAACATACGCGAAATCTGGCTTGAAAGAATAGAAACCTACCTACCTTTCAGTATAAGCAATAGGTTCATTAATTTAGGATTAACAGCTCTGAACAATTGCTCACTAGTGCATCGTGAGGCCTCTCATCGTTTTTCGTTTTTTTGCCACAGAGATGCAGGACGCGTTTTAATGTGTTGTTTCTCGAATCTTATTAGGCCTGGATGCAGGACGCATACCAGGTATATTCCTTGGAAAGCTGTACTGAAATTCGGCGATGTAACTTCTTTTGGAGCTTACGTAAAATTCTAACGCATGTCTATTCGGATAGTTCCTATAATGGCCAATTATCCAGCTGCAGTGACAATACGCCGCAATTCTATATATGTAGCTACCGCCACGATCGACATACTGGCTGGTGAATCGATAATCGTGCAATAATGTCACTGCAACTTGAGTACTTAGAACAAGCAGTCAAATAAATTTCCAGGAGAATCCAGCCATGCCCACCTCATTTCCCTCTAAATTGAGACAATTTTACTTGTTTTAAAAAATCATTGCGAGTCTTATCGTAACCAACCTTTGTATAGAGTCAATCAATCTCTACATGTGTCAACTCAGCGATAAAAACACCAACACTACAAAACCATGACTATTTTTCAGCCCAACCTGACCTTCCAGGATGGCGGCCACCAGGACGTAGGAGTAAGTTGTATCCGGCTGTGCTTTGAGCATTGCTAATCTGTCGGCTTGAACAAACAGTTCCAGGTGCAGTCCGAGAGCTGGATGTACCACGCCGACGCGTGCGGTCGACCGCCTGGCGAAGTGCAGCAGAGCATCATCTGCGCGACGTGCTTCATTACTGAATCGACGTACCTCACCGGTTCGGCCGGCGGTGACTGGGACCTATTCTCAACCTGCTGCCCCTTCAGCGGCGGACCGACAACACTTAACAAGACCATCTACTACTCGGCAAGTAACTGCACTTCTAACTACTGCATCACTAGCGACGAGGAGCTCGCCAACGACTGGGACAAATGTGTCAAGGATGTGGCGAACAAAAAGATCAATATATTTGCCAACCAAAGCGTTGAAGATGTTTATTGCGGCCGCTGCGAATTCCTAGACCATGAATTTCTTAAAAGCGGGTTACAAATCAGTGGAGCATCTACTAAGGGAATGAAGACATTTGTACTAGTTGGTCTAGTATTTTGTGCTATGCTACTGTAATATCACTAGTGGTCTGCTGTAATTCCCTCATTAAAACTCACATGATAATTTGGAAAAATAGTCTGAGGAGTGGTCTCGAACTAAGCCCAAGACAGTCACGGGTAGTCTTCTTCCATAAGCGGTCTAAAAGCCAGGGTCTTTAGTTACTGAGCCAGAAATGGAATAGATAGATAATAGGCCGAGACTATTTAGGGATAGTATATTTATTTCTAGGTGGCTAGAATATAAGACATTAAATAATAAAATCTTAGGCAATAGTATAACTAGATATCTTAACTATTAATTAACTAAAGATATATATTTAATTTTAAGTTTTTAAGAATCTAGGATTAATATACTCTATATCTTTCACTGTTAAGACTACTATTAAGATTACTTCTTATTACAGGGCTTTTTTTATTTTACATTTGCTTAAATAGTTATTAAATAATCTATTCTTCTATATACTTACTATTCTATAGGGAAGGGAAAGTATCTCTATAGTTTATCTGGCAGATATTAAATAATTAATAAGTCTATAAGCCTTTACTTATACTGGAAGCTTTCTATTAAACTTTATAGTATAACTAAAATATTAACCCTACTATAATACTTATTAAGCAATGAAGCTACTATAGTTAAATAGAAGCCTCTGAATAATTATTTAATTTAAAATAGCTTAAATTTTTAAACTATAAGGGTAATGTGATGGTTGGGTTTTCTAAGGGATAAACTAGTCCGTTTTAAGTTTATATTGGCAGAGTCATAGGGCATATAATACTAAGCGGTTGCGAAGTATTATATCTCTTAATAGTAAATAAGGCAGGTTAGGCATATTTAAGTAAAGATATTTTATTAATAGCTATTAAGCTAAGTATATTAACTAATACTAAGTGAATATATATATACTTATAATAGCTTATAGTTAAGCGTTAAGCTTATATTATAAGTTAAGGCTTATATTATAAGTCTTATTATAAGCTATAAATTATAGATTCTAGTGGCTTATAGTATAGCTAAGCTAGTATAGGTAATTAAAGCTATAATTAGTGAAAAAAATAGTAAAGCCTATATAATTATCTATTAGGTTATAATATAATATCTCCCCTCTTGTAGTCTTATCCTTAAGGCCTATTATTTTAATTATCTTTCCTACTATCCCTGGTAAGTGCTAACTTATTCCTTTTATTATTTATATTTCCCTGACTAAAAATATTAAAGTCTAAGGCTATATAAAATCATAAGGCGCAGGCTATTCTTATTAAAAATACTAGAATACTTATTATACTATATAGTTATTATACTCCTTATAACCTTAAGTATTAAGTAAAGGAGGGTTATTTTAAATGTTTATAGTATACCTATTATAGTTAATCTTATAATAGCAAAGGTATAACTTTATTAGCAGGTATATATTTATAAGTGATTTTTCTTTGCAGTTTTTTATATTACTAATAGGTTCTAGCGGATTGCTTAATTGCTAAAAAGTATTATTTAGAGAAAGAAGAAGAAGTTATTAAAAATAATCTATTAGCTTTGCAATAGTAAGTAAATAAGCATTTAAACTATCTTATGCAGTTATATTATTAGAAAAGGTAGCTTTAAGAGTATACTAAAGAAATACTTTATTAGAATATTAAAACTCTTAATAAGTTAAAGACTATTAAAAATAAAGAGTCTCTGGCTGCAGTAAAGGCGCAGTTAACTAGTATAATAGGCATTATTAATTAGAGTAAGGTATTTATTAATCCCTTATTTATACTTAATAAAAGTTCTTTAGGAGCTATTAGGCATTAATTAAGTGTTTTAATAGTTCCTATATATTTTTATTTTCTAGGTAGTTTTTCTATTTTACTAAAAATATTATTTTTCTATTAATCTTCTGCATTTCTCTGATTTCTTTAACCTTATAGGTCTCTGGTCTATTAACTTCTTTAGGTTTATTGCCGATTTTAACTTTAATAATATTAGCAGCTATTTTAAGAAGTAAGATATAAAAAATTAAATAGAGTCTAATTTTTATTAGTAGCTTTAATTTATAGATATCTTTCTTAACTTATTATTTAATTTTATATAGTTTAATAAACTTATAGTCTAGTTTATATAAAGGCTATTTTATTATAATATTTTCTATAAATAAGTAGACTATATCTCCCTCCTTAAAGGTTAATCCCTCTACCTTCTTAATATTATAGTAATGCTTTATTTATTATTTAATATATTCTAGTTCCTTTCTTATTTCTTTATTTAGATTTTTAGGATTATTTACTTTTAGTATTACTATAGCGTTTATTATTTTAGGATTTTATTTATTATAGTAAGTATTTAATATAAATCTAAAGTTAATATATACTAGGGTTATCTTAGTGCTTTTATTATAAGCTATATTATAGGTAAATTAAGTAATAGGTAACTTTTTACTTAATTATCTTATTTATAATTAATATAATATTGCAAGTATTATTCTAGTACTTAGTTTATCTATCTATTTATAGTCTAAATGCAGTAAATATTTAGTAATTTATTCCTAGTAAGGCTAAGAGTGCTTATTAAAATTTACTAGCAAATATTATACCTCTATCTAAGAGGATCTCAGATAGTAATCTATAGTTCCTGAAAATTTAATTATAAAGGATATAGGCTATTTATTCTACTTTAATTACTTCCTAATAAGGGATATAGTAGTAAAACTTTATTAAATAGTCTATTATTACTAATATATTATTATAGAAGATTCTAGTTAAAGGTTCTTCTAAGAGTAGTAGTTTAATAATAAAATCTATTATTATTAAATCCTATAGTTATTATACCACTGGAAGTAATTATAACCCTCCGTAGGGTTTATATTATTATACTTTTATCTTTGCATATAAGTTATACTATTTAATTATATTTTTTATTTGCTTTTATATAAGGTTATATTCCTTATTTTATAGTCTTTTTAGTGTTTTTATTATACCTTAATAACTATATAGTAGATATATATAATAATTCTATAGTATCTTTTATAAGTCTTCTTATTCTATAAATTTCTTTCCTTGACTTTATATACTTTATAGGCTATACTTTTTATATTAATTAATAATATCTTAGATTTATTTATTTAATCCTTTAATTAGGAATTATTAATATTTATAATTCTTTTTTATCTCTAATAGGTTTATATAGTTTTATATATAGTATTTTTCTAAAGCGTTTATAAGTTCTATTATTTTAATAGCATTAAGGAGTTCCTTTTCTCCTATAATAAGTCTTAGCGTATATACTTACTATATAAGCTTATATTCTCCTTTTTTTATTTCTTTAAGGAGTTATTTATTAGCTTTAACTATTCCTATATTAAAGTCTAGTTATTAGCTAATTATATTAGCTCTTTTATTATTTAAGCCTTTTTAATATATAATAATAAAGTTAAATTTATTTAAGTACTTAGTATATCTTATTTATTATCTATTAAGTTCTTATATTATAGTAAAGTAAATAATATTTTTATAATCTATATAGACTTTAATTTAATACTTACTTCCTATAAGGTAATATTTAAACTCCTTAAAGCAGTTAAAGATTATTAAAAACTCTTTATTATATATAGGGTAGTTTAGTTCTGCTCTATATAGTTTATATAAATAGAATGCAATAAGGTATAATTTCTTAGTATTATCTTATTATTTAATTTATCCTCCTAGGGTAAAATTTAATGCATTTATTTCTAGTTTAATTTTTTTTATTAGATTAAAGATTACTAAGATAGGTTTATTAAGGATTACTTACTTAAGTTATTTAAATGCTTATTAGGCTTTATTATTCTAAGTAAATATTTAATTCTTTTTAATTAACTCTATAAATAGGTTAATAACTTTACTAAAGTCTTTAATAAATCTTTAGTAATAATTAATAAAGCCTAAAAAGGCTTATATTTCCTTAATATTAATAAGGACTTTCTAGTTAATTATAGCAGAGATCTTATCTTTTTATATATATATCTTGCCTAGTCTAATAGTATATCCTAGAAAATTAACTTTAATAATATAGAAGTAATATTTCTCTGGTTTAATTAATAGTTTAATATCCTATAGTAGCTATAGGATTTTATAAATATATTCTCTATATTCTTCTTTATTATCTAAGAAGATTAGGATATTATTAAAATAGTATACTATAAAGATATTAAGGTATTATTAAAGTATATAGTTAATTATCTTCTAGAAGGTTGCTGGTATATTTGTGAGACTAAAAGGCATTACTAGGTATTTAAAAAGTCTAAACTTAGTTTAAAATGCCATTTTCTATTTATCTCCTTCCTTAATGCATATAAGATTATATACTCCTTTAAGGTCTAGAGCGATAAAGATCTATTTCCCCTGTAATTAGTCTTTTAACTTTATAATTAGCAGTAATAGTATTTAATCTTTAATAGTATAAGTATTTAAATCTTAGTAGTTAATAACTAGTTATAGTTTTCTATTTTTCTTAAGTATAAATATTATAGGTATTCCTGCTAATAATATAGATAGTCTAATATATCCCTTCTCTAATCTTTCTTAGATATATTTTCCTAATTCTTTAAATTCTTATTAATTTAGTAAATAGATTTTTTATAGTAGAATATTTTTATTTATAAGTATAATCTTATAATCCTATCTGCTATACTTAGGTATCTTAGTATTTAATTCCCCTTTAAATAGTTTATAATATCTTTAGTATTCCTTTAGTATATAAAGTATTATTTTCTAATTTATTTCTTCCTATAGGACTTCTTTTTATAAGTTACTTTTACTAAGTATACCTAAGATATATTTCTTTTGCTTTATGCCTATTATATACTAGGGTATTATCTTTTATAGGTATAGTAAGTTTATATTATATATACTTATACTAGTATCTCTAGTTAAAGTCTAAGATCTCTTATAGTTTATTATAATTATTATCTTATCCCTATTTAAGTTACTTAAAAATATAACTTAGCCAGTTATTTAATTAATAATTAAGTTTTCTTATTTAAGCTATACTATTCTAAGGAGTAATTATATCCTATTTCCTAATAGTATAATATTATAATATACTTAGTGATTTTTTTCTTAGATAAGGATCTTAAGGTAATCAGTCTCTTAATCTATAATTCTATTATTATAACTAAAA